TGGGGGCAGCTAAGTGTTGCAGAATCATCGCGTTTTGTTGGACTAAGGTTTGAACCTGTTGTTCCAACACTGCGACGCATTCCTGATCATTTGGGACGACGGGGTGTTGCCCTATCGAGTCCCTTTCATCAGAAACCTGCAACGTTTCGTCCTCGCCAGCAGCCAGACCAGATCGCAATCGAACCATGCTTTGTTTAGAGAATAAAAATATGTTCCTACATACGGCGCCAACTGTTGATGATGGATTCTGCGCAATCCGAATTTGATCTGACTTCCTGAACAAAGAGAAGAAAAGGGGTGATCCTACAAAAACCGGTGTGTTATCGGTGGAGTAGGCTCCATTAAACAAGTCAGTGTGTGAAGTAATCTCTCTGGAGAAATTAAGAAATTGAGTTAGGATTTATTGCGTACCTCCAAACGTCGATTAACCCCCTTTATTTATAGGGCTTAGGTTAAGATGTCACGTAGAGTTACCGTTGTCTTCATCTTTATCATAATCTGTAGGTTTAATCCTTCTCGTAATCTGTAATCCTTATCGCAATTTGTAGAGCCTATCTCAATCTTATGAGATAGCGCGTTAATTTAACAATCTTCCCTTATCCACGGGTATTTAATTTATACATCCATTAACATCAATTTTTCAAAAGTTTCATGGTACTTTCTTCTCAAATAATGTGAATATAAATAGTATTCAATAAATTATAATATATATATATATATTACGTGGTTCAATCAAGTTTATAATCAACAGTCATGCAATGCAACCCCTCTCATCATTGTTATATTGCAAAACTATTATATAAATAAAAATAGAATGATTTGTGCATTAATCCTAATTTCATATATATTTTATTTTCATAAATTATTTATTTTGTATTTTGATTTTGGAATTATAATGATCCGTTTTGACATTAATATCTATTGTTAAATTGATATATTTCTTTGGTAAAATTCACTATTTTATATATTATGTGTAGAAGGTGTTCAAGACAAAAATGTAATATATACAACATTTAAATTTCAGTAGTTTTTTGTTTTTTTTTTAGTTGGTACTCACATATACTTGTCTCTTTTGAGACTTGCATTTGGGAGGTAAGAGGTTGATACCGCTAGGTCACTAGCCCGTTGATATTTTCAACTTTTTCATTTAACAAACAATTTTAATGAATTCAACACTTAAAATTAATAGAGTATCAAACAAGTTTTCAGATTAATACACTCAACATTTCAAATTTCAGCACTTAAAATTTATTCAGTATTTCAAATTTCAACGCTCAAAATTTAGTACTTGAAATTTTCCGTGCTTAATTTTCAATTTTATAAAATAGCACCTTAGTGTGCCTAAACTGAGCAACTCAAGTTTCATCCAAAATTTTAGGGTCATAGGCAATATATTTCATGGGACTATGGAACTGGGACTGGAACTATATTTAAACTTTAGAGACCCAAATTATTTTGGGTGAGAGATTTAAGGCAAACTTTTCCCTAACACAAGTAACGTAAATGTTATATTATATAAGTATTTTAATATTTCTTACCTACAAATTAGGGTTTACACATTTACTCCTACACCTACCCAGTTATGATGCATTATATATACCTCTACTAACCTAGTTACCATGTATAGATGACTTGATCATCACTCACTTACCCCAAATATTCTCCTATATTGGACCTTCATCTTCATGTATTCAATTCAATATAATGCAATATAATATTTTCCAATTTATTTATTTCTAACATATATCAGAGCGGTAAACAGTTTATCGTAGTCATCGCCGGGATGGCACCATCCCACCTGGCGGCGGTCAACCAACAAACTCACGCTTCTGCACTCCAAGATTTTCATATGCCACGTTTAGAGAAGCCTCGTTGCCTTAGTATTCCTCCGAGAAACCCAACGACATACCTTGTTTAGAGAAACCTACCTAGGGATGCCTTATGTAGGGAAGCCTCGTTGTTTAGGTCTTCCTTAGGGAAACCCAACAAGATATCTTATTCAGAGATGCTTAACGTATCGGATTAGCTCCGTTATCGCGCACCATGCACCTCAAGTGGTAATCCCAATCCTCCATGCATTTTCACACGCAACAGCAATAAACCTGCACCTCAACATGTCGGATTAGCTCCGTCACTATGCCATTAGTGGTCATCACGTGCTCACACGCGCCTCAGCGTGTTGAATCTTCATAACTCCATCACTGTGTCGCCACGCCATCAATGGTCATCATGCACTTCCTAAAGCACCATCAATGTGGTGAATCTTCACAAATTCATCACCCATATGCCACAGCGCCTCAAGTGGTCTTCACGCTCCACCACCACTTTTATGATCTCATCTCCAATGATCTCGTTTCCAAACTTAAGCTGGTTTCATACTCACCGTGAGTTTGAGGGACTGTTAAATTATATAAGTACTTTAATATTCCTTACCTACAAATTAGGGTTTACACATCTACACCTCCACCTACCCAGTTACCATATATACCTCCACGTATGTAGTTACCATGTATAAATAACTTCATCATCACTCACCCACCCCCAAATCTTCTCCTATATTGGAACTTCATTTTCGTGTATTCAATTCAATATATTACAATATAATATTTTCCAATTCCTTTATTTCTAACAATAAAGAACCCAAAAATATAAGAAAATTTTATAATATTTATAAGAAAAGTCTACAATCTTTATATTTTTCCTGTGCATTGTTTATTTAAAATAAATTAAAAATTAGATGTTTTATAGTATCATATATATTAACCTAATTTTGACGTGGTTGCTTTAAAATTTTAAAATAATTAATTTTAGTTAAATAAATATAATAATAAAAATATAAGATATTGAGTGTTTTTTTTTTTTTTTTTTTTCCTTCTCAAATTCTAGTAAGAATGAATATTATAAAGTCCCACAAGTCTTAATCACTCAAAATCTAAAATTAAACAAAAAAACTACTTATCAAGCAACATAGGTGATTTTATTTGACGTTAAATGTATATATTTATTAGAACTTCAGCTTAAAGTGACAGAAATTTGGATTTAATGTCGACTAACCCTTTAGTTCGCTCAAGTCCAACCCGTATCATTATTCGAACGGAAATTTAAACACTTCCTCTCGTGTTAAAAAGAGTTTAAATTTGATGTGTCTCGATATAACTTGGGACATTTTTAATATTCTCTTTCAGCTGAATTTGCAACGCTTTGTTGCGATCGGGCTATTCAGTCTACCTGAAGTGATAGATTTGAACACTAGGTGCTTGGCGTGACACTAGATGAATGATTGAGTTTGACTTTGATGATAATTGTAACGCATCGGGCACATGCCTTCTCACTTAAAAGTATGGGTAGTGTTGAAAACCCACTCATTTATACCTCGAAGTGGATAAGTTCAGTTCCAATTACCAGCTAAGGCTTTTTAAATAACGGCTCAATGATAAAGGAGGTAGGGGTGCAAAGACATCGGAGGTTTGCCTAAAAACAGTCGCATCTAAAAAAAAGGGGCGCGAATCCTCTGAAGTGAGATTTCCATACGGTCCCCTGTAGTAAGTTTTAAGTAGCCTATATTTGGCCACGTCTTTCTTCATTTAACAGACACTGAGACAACGTTTGGATGCAACAATTAAAAAAAAGTGAAAATCATCTTCACCCTCAAAATAAAGTATACACATAGTATAGACTAAGTAATATCACATATAAACGTAACTCAATTCGACATATCATTTATGTTATTATTTGAAATTAAACTATTTAAAAAATACTTTAACATGTTAATTTAAAGAATTTAAACCAAAATTAAGGCACTTGGATTAACTTTAGACAACAAACAAAACACTTGATGTTTTCAAAAATAATGAAAAGAGTCACATCTTTTTTATTTTTTATTTATTTTAAATTTCTTCCAAATATTAAAAACATACACGTAGGTATAAATTATTTAACAAATCTTTGAAAAAAATTTGGCAATGTTTAATATTAATTGCTACAATCTCCACTTTTACCATCAAAAGAAAAAATTTGGCAAAATTTAATATTAATTGCAACACAAAAAAATGATATCCACATAATGTTAAAAAATTAATAGTCACACATAAATTTAACTTAATTTAACATATTATTTATATATTTTTTAAATTAAATTTTTTCATAAAAATAGAATATCTAAAAAAATAGTCATACGTTAATTTAAAAATTTTTTTGAAAGGGATTACGAAGTATTTGGCTGTCAACAATTTTTACTTTTTAAGTAGTAATTTACCCTCATACAAATAGTGATGTTACTTTTTAGACTCATATGATATTATTTATTAATAATAATAAAATGTTATTTATAAATAATAGTATAATTTCAAAATATGATCTCAAAAGCTGTTAAATAAAGAAAGACATAACCAGACCACTTAAGAGCTCGCGACAGGAGATCGCATGTGAATTTACTTAAGAAGATTCGCGCCCCTAAAAAGAGTGCTTAATGATCGAGCGCTCTTGCGCCGAAGCTGCCGCACAGCTCACCGTTGAAATAGAAAAATGCGGGCGGTAGAAATACACGTATAGGTCCAATTAATAAACTTTCGCGGAAAGTTCAAAGGTCATCTGGTGAGACCACTCACAATGGATCCCACGACATAGTTGTATGATGTTACTCAACTAGTAATCGGCAACGGTTGACTGACACTTTCTTTAGAGCCAAATTCTTTTAGGAATTAAAAAAGGAAAAAGAATGGAATTCAATTTGAAATAAAATTATGTTTGTGTATTTGTTTTATTTTTATTAATTTGAATTTCAATCCCATGCTTAGCTGAAAAGAAGGTCAATTTGATAAAATTACAAACCTAAAACTAGTCCACCATTTTTCATAGACTTGAGGAAGATATATAGTTTAGAATTTTAAATCCCATAAAATTCAATCCCATTTTAAATTCTTTTTTGGCTTCGGAATTATAATTTAAACAACACTTGTCACGAGATGAAACAATCAGCATAGGGGAAGTATACAACTTCAAGTCACCATATCATCGCCACAAAACCCTAAAGGACCGCCTACTCTTTTTTATCGTCCCTATCCCTCTACCTTTTGCACCACCACCACCACCACCTGCTCATCCTCGCCGGAATCTGACACCATGAGCTACATCGCTGCCTACGCCTCCCGTTATGTCGATCACTTCCGCCACCTGACCACGACCTTCACGACGACTCTCACTATTCCAACGATTAATACTATCACAATTTGCTGAAACAACGTTTATCTCCGTACTTTTCTCTGAAAGCCTCAAACTTTTGAAACTATAATATCGTTATCTCAATTCTTTGTTTCGGATCAGTTTCACTGCGTGTTGGATATAAATATGTCGCTTGTGTCTCAACAAATGTCGGCGTTCAAGAGCTATAGTGCGTGTTTGAGGGACTCAGCCATCCAGTTTCCGCGTCCCAACCCTACCGATAATTGCACGCGGTTAGTCCCATTATATATATATGCAAATATAATATTCGATTAACTGATTAGTTAATATAATCTGACGTTGATCTTAGTTTTGACTTATTGTTTTTGTTTTCAATTGCTCTGTTTGGTTGCTGAGAGAAGGTGAGGAAAGTGGAAACAAACACTACCTTCGTTTAATGTTATTTCATTGCATTGGCTCATTTATGCATTTAAATGTTCCTTTTCTATCAAAGGGCGAATTTTTAAGCACATGCCTCATCATGCTTTTCTGATTCAGAGCAAAAAGGTTTTTGATTTATCAGACTCTGAGTCTAACTTGGTAGTTATTTTTTAGAACTCCTGATTTGGTCCTTATATTTATCATCTCAGAGCTAAGTCAGCTGCGCCATCTTCGTCTTTAGTAGATCATGATCTTCACGCCTTATATACCCTATTTGAACTAATAAAGACAATAATGAATCATGTAATTGAAGATATAATGTGGATAGACAAAAACTGCAAGAATGGTCATCTTTTCTAATTGTTAAATGTGTTTTACTTAGAATCTGAAATTTCTGATGTGAAGTTTGATTTTTGTGGAAGTTAATGCAAGGGTTGATTAGAAAGTTGGATTTTATTGGTTGGTGTATGAGAAATTGAGAAGTGGGAAGGTTTCTGCATGAAGAGGTGGTCAATATTTGTGTTTTATTTTCTTTCCTCCTCCTTATTGAAGTTGTTTTAGGCTGGAATTTATTTGAAATGTGAATACATAATTCTTTTTGTTAAATCCAAAATGTATATTAAGTCCCAACATTTGAAGAATATTGATGTCATCCAAAAATTATATTTTGTTTCGACTAGGTTGCTATGCACCTCAGCATACCTACATACTATCACATACTATAACGTTAAATAACTGGGAGACTTATTACACTTATGACCAACTTCAGTTCACCAAAATAAGATTCATCTTACTGGGGAGGTGGCTAACAGGAACAAGGGACTTATATAATTTTTCCCATTATATCTTTCCCTCTTTTATTTCATCTCCCGGTTGAGCTGGTCACTTGATTGGTGTTACAAGGACTGCTTTGATTTTGATCTATTTGAAGAATATCATGATTAATACTCTCGCTCATTCTCTGCCCTGTGCCCATTTCAAGTCTTTTGGTTCAAGATTTTTGTCATGTCATTGTTCGAAACTCCCTGTTAGTGATTAGGCAAAACTGCATTCTTCACTGTCTGAATTTCTGTTGTTTTTGTAGCATACTGATACTGTTGTCACTTGTTACGTATCCTGCCTATTTTTACATGTTAGCTAGCCCTTTGGGCCTCTAATCTGAACAATATTACAAATAAAGTTTTTAAGAGGCATCCCTTCTGGGGTTGAGCACAACTCTAGTCCAGTTGATCAAGAACAGAGCTCAAATAACTTGTTTTTATCAAGCTTGGCTTATTTGTTCCACAAGTGGATCTCAAACAAGCTTCTAATCAAGCCACTAAGAAGTCGAGCTCCGGTAGTTTGGTTTGTTTTGCAGCTCTAATTCCTTCATTAGAGTATTGGATGCAGAAGTACTCAGATTAGTATAGTTTTTTTTATGTCCGTGCTACTAAAAACTTTTTTTAGTAGTTACCAAAAAAATTAGCGAATTATTTTCACATTTGAATTTTGTGTGTTGGTTCAGTAAAAGATATTGAATATTTAATGCTGATTTTCTCAATGTGTGTATGCTGTCACATGACAATTGTAGGAAAGTTGGGTGTTTTTTGAAAAGATTTTGTTTTTCAATAACAATATTGGATGTCAGAACATGCAGACAATGTTATGTGATCTCGTTAAGTTTCAACTTTTCTTTGTGTGAATGATATGCAGAGGACCAGAGGGACATTACCCAGTGTTTGCTTCTCTTGATTATTCTATGTGGCACAATTATTTTGTAACATCTGCCTTTTAATCTCACGCTGACAAAAGTTGTATGTTGCAGCTGCGAAACAATATAGTCTTGACATGATATCTTATTGCTTAATAATCAAAAGCATTGTTGCTTGTTAACCAAACTGTTCAGTTTTGTTGCTTGATAATACGTAGTATATTGTACGTTGACATTATTTGTATCTCCACCATTTTCAATGATTTGTGTCTTGATGTATTGATGATGCTTAAAATAGAATGAGAATCTGGATTTTACAATCTAGTTTTAGTCCTCAGTTCTGGACAGCTATTCAAATTCATCTCAGTTAAAATATGATCACTTGAGCAGATGCAAACTATTTTTCCTTTTTTCCTTCTCTGTTCTTGTTTTTCTTATTATTTTCTGGATTGCAAGTCGTTTATTTGTTGTGCATTATTTTGGATGTTCTGAATGAATTTCAGACCTCTTCAAAAGTCAAAACTACCTATATGCTGGCTATTGTTTGCTATACTAATATCCCTTTCTATTGCTAACAAGCAGGAGGAATGCAAAATTGAGGTGCCCTCAAGCGGCCATAATTCCTAACTTTCACCTCCCAATGCGTAGTTTTGAAGTTAAAAACAGGTAATCCTTTGTGGTATACTTGTTCATGTTTGTTTTAGGACTTCCAATTTTTGAAATATTACTTTGGTGAGAGAGATTAAGGGTCTGTTTGGTTCAATTCTCTGATAATAGTTTTCAAGAAACTTTGAAACAGAAAGCAATCTTCAGAGAACTCTATTAGAACAAACCTTTTCTTAACTCAGTTTTCATAAAACAGTTTTCTATAATATGTCAACCAAATGAGTTTTCATACTGTTGTTTTCTGAGAATATTTAACGAGTCAGTAAAGGAGTGTGTGGCCTTTTGGAGTCACTAACGGCGTGCTTTCTAAGATCGATAATGAAGCTGGATACTGACTGCGTTTAATTTGAAAATTTTGTACTGTTAATAAAAGAAATAATAAAGTTTCTCCAAGGAACCTGAAGAAAGTTGCAAACACAATACAGTTCATAATATAGGTGCGTGTAACAAGAAGTATCTAATTTATTTTCATATTTCAAGGCCATGTCGATTCACTTTGTATGGAGAATCATTTTTATAAAATTACGTGGTTGCTTACAACCTTTTGTTATATGCACAATTATAGGGGATTGATTTGTGTGCTCATATGCTATCAAAAGCTGCATTAAGATAGTTTAAAAAAAATTCTGCCTCACAACCATGTGTTTGTGATTCATTTGTGGTAATGACGCTTGTGTCCACCTGTGTCTGTGACCTATTTGAACAATTAAGACATCTTTAAGTTTGTTTTATTTAAGGACCTCTAGAAAAGTCCAAATATACTGTTTTTTTCCTGTTCAAATAGTTATTTAAGGATATAGAAGAAGCACATAAAGTGGATTCGCAAAGACCACTTTATGTGCTTCTTCTATATCCACATGAAAATTTCAGGCGAAAAAATAGTCATGCCTGGTGAATAAATGTCATGGAAATTCCATGTCCAATGATTTCCATGTCAGATACAGTACTTATGACTGCATATCATGGGGAATCATTACATTGAAATATAGGACATTGAAATGTCTCCTAAGAGCAACCTACTTGAAACATAAATAATCAAACTACTCCTTTTTCATGCTTTATGTAAAAGCAGTAACATTTTTCTGATGCTTTGTTACATAAAAAATTATTTTAAATGCTGTTGAATTTGTCATTCAGTTGTTTGAGCAGTGTATTCCGATCAAGTTTTGATGACCGTGCTTTGAGACTTTACAATAACAGTGGTTGGTAAGAAACAATTCGCGTCTATGCATGCATGCATTCATGCATTTTGTGTCTATGCATGCACAGAAGTGTCTCAAATCTGACTTCTTTATTAGAAAGAGGATGAGATTTATTTGAATTAGTTTTGATGACCGTGCTTTGAGACTTTACAATAACAGTGGTTGGTAAGAAACAATTTGCGTCTATGCATGCATGCTTTCATGCATTTTGTGTCTATGCATACACAGAAGTGTCTCAAATCTGACTTCTTTATTAGAAAGAGGATGAGATTTATTTGAATTTGTTTAATTTCCATTTGAGAAGAGTTGGTGCAAGTATAAAAAAGAAAAGAAAAGAAAAAGAAGTGCTTTGATATAATTTTTCTCTTTACAAGTGTTGGTGAAATAGATTAGTGTGTTTTGGATGCAGGACATCGGCAGAGGATATAAAATGTCTTAGATTGATTACTGCCATTAAAACACCATATCTACCAGATGGCAGATTTGACCTTGAAGCATATGATGCCTTGGTGAACATGCAGATTGATGATGGGGCTGAAGGTGTGATTGTAGGCGGAACAACTGGTGAAGGCCAATTGATGAGCTGGGATGAACACATAATGCTTATTGGTCACACGGTTAACTGTTTTGGTGGATCAATCAAGGTAATTGGGAACACCGGAAGTAACTCAACAAGGGAAGCAATTCATGCCACTGAACAAGGCTTTGCTGTTGGAATGCATGCTGCCCTTCACATCAATCCTTACTATGGCAAAACCTCTTTGGAGGGCCTTGTTTTTCACTTTGAAAGTGTACTTCCAATGGGCCCTACTATAATCTATAATGTGCCCACACGAACCGGTCAAGATATTCCTCCACGTGTGATTCACACCATAGCACAGAGCCCTAATTTGGCCGGTGTAAAGGAGTGCGTTGGAAATGACCGGGTCGAACAGTACACAAACAGTGGGATTGTGGTGTGGAGTGGGAACGATGATCAGTGTCACGATGCAAGGTGGGGACATGGTGCCACTGGAGTGATATCAGTGACGAGCAATTTGGTACCAGGTTTAATGCGAAAACTCATGTTTGGGGGGAAGAACCCCTCTCTGAACACAAAGCTCGTGCCTTTGGTTGAGTGGCTTTTTGACGAGCCAAATCCCATTGCCGTAAACACAGCTTTAGCACAGCTCGGGGTTGTGAGGCCTGTTTTCCGGCTACCTTATGTACCACTCCCTCGGGCAAAGAGAGTAGAATTTGTTAATTTAGTGAAGCAAATTGGGCGGGAGAATTTTGTAGGAGAAAAAGATGTTAAGGTCATGGATGACGATGAGTTCATTTTGGTGGGTCGATATTAAGGTGGTAGTTCTAGTTCATGCCAGAGAGCTTTGTTTTTTATTGCCAGTTTGGGTTTTACCCTTTTCCTTAATAATGAATTTTGTTTATTACTGAAACTTTGGAGGCAAAAACCTCTGTATAATATACTGTGTTGTTTTTTGGACATTTGAAATTTATGGCTATGTAGCTTCCCATAAATTAATCTACCTGCAAGTTGATGTATACAGGCTTTTGTGGTTGAGTATTGCAGCAATGTTAGAGCTACTGTTTGCTACTAAGATCAACTAAAATAGGATCAGAGAAATTTTTTCTCTCTTGCAAGTCGCACAAATGGCTTCTAGCATTCTAGTGTTTTATTTTCAATGTACTTCTTCGTGGTGGTCTTGTCCTTTATTTATTTATTTAATTAATTTAATTTAATTATTTATTTATTTATTTTTGTGTAAAAATGATGATTCCTCTTATTATTGAATCAATTAGATTTGTCACCTACTTAAAATACTATCGAATCAATTAGATGTCAACAAAATTACTGTGCCCTTAAGATTACTGAGCACGTGTTTTAAATTTACTACGTAGAATGGAAGGAATATTTTTCTAATCCCAAATCTATGTCACTCAAGAGTAAGATTCAAAGGAAACATATTCTAACTTTTTTTTTGTTTCAATCAATCAATTCTGTTCCAAGTCCTTTTCCATTTCCCCGTAATTTTCATTTCCCAATCAACCACTTTTAAGCGAAGCATATGAATAAAAGCATATGGAGTAAATGATTCTAGTAGTCATCTAATTCTAGTACATCCAGTACCCTCACCAAGCATAAAATCTATTTATCCTTATTTGTTCAAGTGAAAAATAGAAAGAAAAATAATAATAAAATGACCAGAGGACTCTTTTATCAGGAAGATAAAGAACAGACCTAAAATAAAAAAATAAATAAAAAATAAATAAAGAAAGAAAAGAAAAGAAAAAAGAAGATAAAGATCAGAAATATTCTTACATCTTCATATCTTCTTGTTCTTGTTCTGAATAATAAAATATGCATAGACTGATCTTCTCTGTTCTCTTGGAGAAGGGAAAAAAAAGGTATGTTTCTCAGCTTCTCTCATTCTCTTCAACAATATTCGATCCACTCACTCACACCCTCACAAGTAACTAACCAACGCTTTCTGGGTTTCCCATCTACAGTTTCTGGAATTACAGCCAGTAGCTTCAATCTATGTAAGTTATTTTTCTTCCATCTTTAAATCTCAATACCATTATTCTTCTCTCTCTCTCATACTGTGTCTTTGTAGTAACTATTCAAGTAAAGAACCAATCTTGTCTCTGAAGTGGGAATTATACAATATTGTCCCAAGTGGGTTTTATTAATTTTGTTTTTTCTTTTACTTCTTTGGTGTATATAGTGTTTCCAATATCTGATAATTATGGAAATAATCATTTGGTTTTCTTGCTAAGCCCTCGGAGCCTTTGAAATGTCAACTTAGATGTCATATCCTTATTGTAAATATGAAGGGAAGGGGTTTCAATTTGCTGAACCCAGGCCATTTGTTCTTTTTCCTCACAAATTTTAAATTCATTTGAAACTCTTGTACTGGGGGTAGATAATAGTGGCCCTAAGCATTTTAACTAGTGACTGAGAACACCCTATCAATGGTTCCTTCATATATGTAGTAGATACTACAGCTTGAAATTGCCATTTATGTGCTATGAAGGCATTGAGTCACTTGTTGCAAAAATTAACAGAGAAGAAAAAAGAAAAGAAAAAAAAGAAACAAGAACATATATATTTATGTGATTCACCCAAAACCTTGCTACATTCATAGAGTTGCAGGGCTTTCACTATGATGAAGAGCAACGAAAATTACGAAGTTTAGAATGAACCACCGCCCCCCACTATACTCCTATACAATTATGGCTACATTACAGGTGTGAAAATACAATATCCCCCAAAAGTTTGATTCGCAAAGTTGGGCTAAGGTGTATAGTATTATCAAGCTCCACTCTTCCTATCATCACTTCCTTGTGATGCATGTTAGAATTATTGTACAATTTCTGTTTGTCTGGACTATTGGTTTTATTGTTGAGCTTTTTGTGATTGATAACAATGACATTATGGGGATTTTAGTCCAACGACGACGTTATGTTGGTGTTATATAAACTTCTTCTTTCTACAAAAGCATGGATTTTGTTCTGTTTATTGTTTGTTTGTTTGTTTTAATTATATAGGCATTGCACTGATGGAGCTCAAACCTTTTCAGTTTGGACTCTCCATTATTTTGCAGTTCCTTGCCATTTGAGAATCTAAATTCTCTAGTGTTAACTGAAATCCATGGAAGTTAAGGAAACAACCACGGAAGTTAAGGAGACAAAATCTTGTTCAGGATATGAGAAACCTCCATGGGTATTTAAAGGAAGGCAAGTGCTCTTTCATTCTTGGATTAATTGCTTTTGATTCTCATTCTTTTAGTTAACTGTTTCTTTTCCTCAGTTCTATAAAACTATCTGTTTTCTGTTTTCAGTGCCCTGTACCAGCTACATCTTGTGAAATCGGAAACTGCTCGAGCTTTCATTCCGAAAGAGTTCAGATTAGTTGAAGCTTTTGGGTATTCATGTTATAACTGCTGTTTCTATTACTGTTATTATAATAATGGCCAAAGGGTTTACAGGTGATTATAGAGTTCAAAGAATTTATTTTCTCATTAACTAACGTGAGTTTTTACTTGGCAGATATACTCTTGGCGGCTTCTTTCTTGCCAGTTATGATGACAGTCCTGCTGGAAGCTTTGAAGAGGTTGTATATCCTAATTTCAAATTGATTTCTTTGGATTGAGTTGTGCTTTCTTAGCTCCCAGGAGTTCACTAAATGAGGCGCTGCTATTGTTAGAAATTTGATTAAGTTGAAACATCTGAATTTGCAAGTGTATTAATTTATCAATATTTTGAAATATATATATATACAGGCAGGCTCTTATGCGGTCCAAAAGAACGGAATTTTTAGTGGATCAATAGTCAAATAGTCAATTACACATGATACTTTATCAGACCTAACCATAGTTAATATTTGCTACCTTAATAGTCAATTTACTATATTTAGTCAATACCTTTATTTAATATTTCTCCCCTTAATCTCTTCCATTTTCCTTACAATCTCTAACAGTCAATTTGTTTATAAATTTGTAATCATTGCTTATGAAAAAATCCCCCTAAATTGAAAAGAAAAAAAATTAAAAGAGCAAAAAAATTAAAAAAGCTTATTCACGAACCCTAAAAAATTGGTATCCTTTGAACCCATGAAAAAAGCTTATTCAGTAATTATTCCACACTGCGTTCTCAATTTGTTCTTTTAACCCAGCAATGCGATCTTAGTTATTTTCGATTAGAAATTGAGCATCATTCGGAAACTAATTTAAGAATTGTCCCACATATATCTAGAGTACAGGAACCAATTGTTATATTGGAAGCATATGATAGATTAATGGCATGAGAAGGGGTTTCCAATTTACATTGCAAATTGATAAATAAGGTTTAGTTTGATATACCTGTGCAAGTAATACCATGAATTGCTAGACATGTGGTATTAAAGTTCTTGTTAATAACGATCTAAATTGGAGAAACTGTGAAGTGGTAAATGGGGTGTGTGTGTGTTATGTGCACTTGACATGGCTTTGCCAAAATGTTTCTGCATGATTATTTTCAACGACTGAAAAAAGTAAAAAAGAAGTTGAGTAATAGAAATAGTTTTTGAGATATTTTAAAATTTTGAACGTGGATTTTCTGATACCATAAAATATTTCCAAAATTGGGATGATGAGATTGGATATTTAATTGTATTTGTGCATAAAATTTAAAAGAAATTGTAATGCGTGAAAACTATGATAAATTGACTATTAAGGTAACTATGGTAAATTGACTATTAAGGTAATAAATATTAACTATGGTTAGGTCTGATAAAGTAATAACGTGTAATTGACCATTTGACTATTGGTCCGCTGAAAAATCCGTTCTTTTGGACTGCATGAGAGCCTTCTTGTATATATATATATATATATATATATATATTTGTTTTGTCAGGGAACCAGATAATGAAAAACATAGTGCTTTAAGCTTATTTAATTGTCAGCCAGTGTAGTAACTCGGTTATTTTATTTTATTTGTTTAGCTTGTGGTGATGGCAGGAATTGTATGGAACCCACCTACATCTTGTGGGTAAGTTTCCACCACTCTCTTCTGGTTCATGTTAATGGAATAGCAAAAGATTGTCTTAAAGAGATAGGTACGATTGATTTCTGTGCTAGTAAAGGTAGCCTGTTTGAAAACTTTATAAGTCAGGCATACCTTTTACAACATTTTACAAGTCGGGACTGTATGTATGGGCTCATTGGCATATCATTTTGATGCCTACATGCCAAAATGCATTTGGTTCTGCAAATCAAGTGGAGATCCACCATTCAAGAGTCAAGATTATTTATTTATTTATTTATTATTTTCAAGGCAAGAAGTGTTAGATGTTAGATTAGTAGATGTAGAGAGTCGAAACCTGGCACTCCAAGGTCCACGGGAGGCATTAATCCAGTGAGCTATCGAGGCAACTGCAAGAGTCCAGATTAGTTCATTCAACTATTAGAAACTCATGTTTGATCAGTCAACTCTGTAACTAGGATATATGGTTTTGTTTGTTAACTTATTTGATTAAATTAAGAAGTAAAAATATAACTAATAAGACACAAAGCATTATACAACCCAATATGAGCGTACTATCTTTTATAATCAGAAACAGGAACCAAGTAGAGCATTTAACCTAATGCATGCTTGCCCCAGCCTTGCAAGGCTGGTTCGATTCATTTGAGTCAGAAAACAAATCGGCACGGCATGGAACTATTACTTAAAGGTATTTCTTTTCTACAATGATTATTCTCAGTTATTTTTGTCAACAGATGGGCTGCTAGGGTGCTTGTAAACAGTGATGAGGCATGCTTCCACGGGCGAAAGGTGGAAAGCTAAAAAACATTAAATGTGAATTCTGATTTTCTATATTTCACTCTAATAGAAACTTGATGAAGAATGTGAATGATGATTTCTCCTTACTTTTTGACACTTGCAAAATTTTACCCATATTTTCTGGCATTTTCTAAAAGGAAAAAGTGATCAGAGGGAAATTTTTTGGATTGCTGACTGCAAATTGGGAATGTGTTTGCTTGATGTTATTTGATAAGAACATAGTATTTCTACATTATCAACATTATCTTGCTTGAATTCATACTTGCAGGACGTAGGACTTCCAAGTCAAGTGGCCAAGTTTTCAAAGGTAGGTTTTAAGCTAAGTAATACGTTGTTGTTGTGATGATATTTTGAAATCTAAACATCTGATTTTCTTAATTAGAATTATATATCAATGTTCAAACATGTGGTTTTCCTAATTGCTTGATATACATGATTCTTTGAAATGGTCATCTTTTCTCAAACAAGGGTTCTTTTCTATCACATCGGCTAGGCTCATCCTATCTCCACAAATTAGGCACATGGATCCAGGTGTGCCATTATAGGGCTACCTAAGGTGTGTTAGAGATGCTTTTTTCTGCTATAAAAGAATTGTGAACAAGCCACTGTCATCCATATTAGCAGCCAAATTTGTTCACTATCTTAAAACAAGAATTCAAATGTTTTATGTAACTTGGTTCTTTCTGTGGCAGAGAATTACAGAAATACCAAGGCAATCAAATAGTAAAATCAATGGTCTCCTGAACATGATTGGTCTGGGTTCTACTGTTTCTAGTCCAAAGAATTGTAAAAATGTTCAAGTTTCTGAAATCAAGGGTCCTGTTGCAACAGATATCTGTGCCATCAACCTTGGTATTGCTGGTGAGTTGGTTTAACATATTACATTCATATTGTTATCTAATCTTGTGATGGACTATTTCCTTCTATGAGTTGGTTTTCATGTGTATGCATTCACGCACTAACTAAGGGCCTGTTTAGTAACGTTTTTACTTTTTGATTTTACTGTCAATTCCTAAAATTGTGAAGTAAAAGTGAAAATTATGTTTAGTAATATAATTTAACTTTTTACCTTTTAGAAAGTACTTTCAGATTTAATGAAGGAAAGAGAAAGTGAGGATTTGTTACTTTCTCTACTTCTTACATTGTTTACAAGAAGTACTTCATCTACTGTAGCATTATTTATCAAAAAAAAAACTCAAAAATTATTATCACCAATCGCTCCACATTGCCTCCCCCGACCATGGCCACCGGCCTACCGCCGCCACCATCACCTCCACCCACCTCCTCCCCACCATAGCCACTGCCACAACCATCTCTCTCCTCTCTCATACCCATCAATAATATACCCAAATCAACTTGAACCAGTCACATAAAGACGAATCGGAGAAGGCGAAGTCGACTCTCCATCATCGGCGACAAGCTGTGTTTTCACGTCCTTTCCCATTGAATTCGTGAAGCTCACTGTTGTTCAACCACTGTCACAGCCCAAGAAGAATTGGTAATCAAAGAAAAAAAGCTAAAAACAATCCGAATCAGGACAAGAGCAAGCGCCAATCTCAGAAGCTAAGGCGGCCTTTCTTTTTTTCCTTTTGTTTGTTTTTCCTCTCCAGTAGCAATTTCTCTTTATCTTCCCTTTGTTCACATATTTCCTTGGATTTAGTCTGAATTGAAGCACACTCTTGAGGAAATTATACTTGGGTACAATCTGATTCTCTAAGCTTATTGCCAAGAGGTTTGGGGTTGCACAAATAAGTTTTGCGAGGTCAGATCTTGAAACCCCAATAGACTGAAAAAACTCAAGTTTAGGCAAAAGGGTTTTATCAGGATCGGCTAAAAGCAGCAGTGGATGTTTCCTCACAAGAAGGGCCATCTGGGTATTTGAGAATCCATGGTTTCTGAGTAGCCTAATGACTGAGTCCGGTTTTTCTGGGGTTTCAAAGTGTATTTTCTCAGAAGCAGAAATACTAGTTTCTGGAGACAACCCGCATGAATTTATGAGGTAAGAGACCGTAAATGAATCTTGATTTGAGGAACTCTTTGACGAAATGGGTGTGAAAGTTGATGCAGAGGTGGTAGTTTCATGGTCTCTAGTCCCACTGAATCAACCAGAGTAATGAATCTGCCAATTGGTTGGTTCACAACCATTTTTCTGATGTTCTAATTTATCATTATGCTAAAATCTGCACTCATCATAATCAAACCCAGATAAAAAAAAAGAAAAGAAAAAAGAGAGAGAGAGAGAGAGAGAGCAGGGAAAATAAAATTAAAATCAAAATTATTAAACTTACTTTCTGTTTTTTGCTTTTAAAATATTAAAAATAAAATCTTCTTATTAAACATCATTTTACTTTCTATTTCGACTTAAGGAATGAAAAGTATGATTTTACTTTTACAGAAAGTAAAAATAAGAAAGTGTAAGCATTAGCAAACAGGCCCTAAAAGATGCTATCTAAGACAGTAAGATCTGGTAAATGCTTTTTCACAGCAGATTTGAGTTAGATCTACATCTTCTTTTGGTATATAACTCCATAATTTTTTTTTTTTTTTTTTTTGACGTTCCTCCATTTATGATGGATAAGTCACCACACTTAAGAACATAAACTTTACAATTACAATAGCCAACCCTCTAACACGATTACTCAGTTCAGTTCAGCTCTATAGTCATACTTTCTGTTGAATAATTTTGATGCCTAAAGTAGAGAAGAATTATAACTTCTTATTTATGCATTCAAAAGGTTTTTGTGATAATTTTTCTGCTTCGTGCTTGGTGATGGCAGTGCCTGAGCAAAATCCCAACAAGTTCCTGGGGCCAGTCATCAAGATGTCACTTCCAAGCTTTAGGTAATCTATGCAATTATTTGCATATACTCATATCCTACTTAGATTTTTTTTTTTGCCCCCTGAATGTGTTGTACCAGAAGACTAATTGTTCTTCTTCTGTGAAACTTCAGCGGCCGAACAGAGTATAATTCAAACCTTCTTAAGTACTCTTGCCAGATTGAATGCAGGTTTCTTCCTCTAAATTTTTGCTTTATGGTTCTCAATCTTTGTGTTGAAGGATATAAATATTAAAGTTACACCCTCTCTACCAACTTAAGCTTTTAAAGTAGATGGGTTGTTATCTTGGTATCAGAGCCAAAGGTCTAGAGTTCAAACCTCACCATCACCCTGATAATTAAAAACTGAAACATGTGTTGGACCAAAAGAAGGCAACACGTGAGGCGAGTTGAAGGATATAAATATTAAAGTTACACCCTCGCTAACAACATAAGCTGTTAGAGTAGATGGGTTGTTAACACTTTGTAAACATTAACTGCTAGATCTCCCCAAAGGAAATGCTAAGGTACACCTGGGGTTAAAAGCAAAGCCCAGTGATTGATGCTTGTGCCCTGAGAACTAACAGGTGTCACAATGCTATGTTGATACAATATCTTAGCTGTTTCTGAAAGGGATTTACAGGTTGAACTTGGAACCACTCCAACCATAGTTGGCCAGTGCTTAATTTATGATTATTTGAAATAAACTACATGCAAAAATGAACACTGCCGAAAATGGAATAAATCCATTACTAATTAATAGAGCATTTATAGCGAGGTACTTGTCCATGATCTATATTTTTTGTGTTCTGGGATGATTCGGTTACATAGGAAACATTTATGTTATAAAATGGCATTTCTCTCTCTCTCTCTTTCTTTTTTTTTTTTTTCCTTTTTGTTGATACATCCTAGAGGGGTGAGGTAGGAGAAAAAATAGAATGGTTAAACCGACTGAATCTTGAAACGAAGATCAAGGATATTCAGTCTTAAATGAGCTCCCTTTTCCAGCTAAATCGAACTTTAAGCTTAGTTCTTGCTACAATAAGTTTCAGCATCTTCAATGTTTTGACATCAAATGCCGGCCATCAAATTGTTAATCTTGTGCTTAATTTCTCCTTTAGGATGAGACCAGTGCATCCAGCAAAGGTGTTGGGGCCGTCTCTAATACCAAAAAATGACGCAGAACAGTCTTCTGAATGGCAAAATTCTGATTTCATGGATCCTACAACCAGAGAGGTCGGAGAAAAAGAAAGAAATCTCAGCATATCTGTGATGTTATCGAAGCCAATTCTAGCTTTGGAGTTCAATTGTCTGAAAATGCAGGTTGAAGCTCCAATCATAGTCGCTCCCTAGCCGAATAATTGAAAGGTTTTTGATTGTATCATGTATGAAGTCCATGAATTTATCATTTCTGCATGCTGTTGTACAACATGTGATCATAAATTTTCTTTCCACAGCTTTCTTTATTTTTTTATAGTCGTAATTTTTATTTATTTATTTATTTTTATTTTTTGTGTGTGTGTGTGTGTAAAATATGATCTTCATTGTAATGTTTTTATTTTTATTTTTATTTTTTATGGTTATTGTGGTTAAAGTTTATAACTACTCTTGTAAGAAAAATGATATACAAGCCGACTCGGCTTGTGTTCTTCTAATAAAGCAGTTGGACAATTAGTGTTAAATCCTTCTCCTTGGTTCTGAAATGTAAGTTTTGGTGGGCAGTGACCGTTGCCTTTATGAACGAGAAAATAATGTAGCTTTGGTCTTTAATGTTGATGCGTGAATATTATTGTATATAATATAAAAACGAGTACAATAATAAAAATGTAGAATTATGAAAAGGGTATGCAAAGGAGAGCTTAGTGAAGTGGAAAATAATGTGTAAAAGGAAGTTTCTATGAGTTGGAGATTCTGTGCTTGATGCATGTGGTATACAAGAAAGAATACCTGTAGGTTTTCAGGCAAGTCTCAAGGTAATTAAACAAGAATATAGATTGATAAGTATGATAAAGTGATTTCACACACTGAATTGTCCTCATTAAAAAATTTCAGTCTTGTAAATCCCTTGTGCATGTGGAATCGGCACATACATATAATTGCCTATTTGAGCTGGCAGTAGTGTTTACAATGAGTTTTGTAGCATTTCTAGTGGGTTCCTTTCAGCATAGCTGTTTTTTGGTCTTGTGCAAGTTATTATAATTACTTATAATTGTCTTTCTGGATTAACTTCCTCAGTTTTAGATTGTGTTTTATGTAGGACTCCCAAAGAACAGACCCTTCACTCAACTGTGCCTGTTACAGCTATATATGACTTGGGGCCTGGATAGGTAGGGCCATTTGGTTCACTGATGAAATTCTGAAGGTAAAATGAGTTTATTTAAAAGTTATTTCAAAACTTAGTTAATATAACACTTGTAAATTTCTCTTAAAACTGTTTTCTGCTTTGTAAGTTGTTGAAAATTGTTTTCTGGAGAATTGAGAGAGAAAAAAAAAAGAAAAAGAAAAAAGACAGGCCTAGAGTTCTCCTTTATAGTTTAATAACTTTTTAAAAACAGCACTAACATTTTCAAGTTTCATAAAAGAATAGGCAGGATCTTAAAAGCTTCCTTTTGTTTCTAATTAGATCGAGTGCTTCACGAAATATGATTGAATTGTTCAATTTTGACTGTGTCATACCATGGGGAATGATAATAAATTTCTCTAAATTTATGTACAAGCAATTTTTTTTTTTTTTTTTTTCTAATCAATTCTGTTCCACCAGTCCTATTTTTTCTCCGTACATCGTAGTTTTCGGATTCACACTCATCATGCTCAAGGCATTTTCCAACCAAGCACTTCAGCAGCTTCAGCTCAACTAAGCATAAAAATCAGGAGCAAATACATGATTCTGGTATATTTAACCCCACCAAATACTATCTCTCACTCAACTTCTAATCAAAATGAGCATAAAACTCATTTCTCTTTATTTGTTCTCTACCATATTATTAAGACATACTTATTTAAAACAAAAGGTTAAAAAAAACCAAGACTTTGTTATCAAGAAGATAAAGAACATAATCCTTATATATTCATATCTTCTTCTTCTTGTTCTAGATTATACTAATATGCACTGATGTTAGTGCTTGTTGTTGTGAGGCAAGTGGTTGTAGGAGCCAGAGACCTTTTGGAGTTGGGATATCAAGGCTCTGTTCTCTTGGTGAAGAAAAAGAGCTTTCTTTCTCAGCTTCTCATTCTCCTCAACAATGCTTTTGTTCTTTATGTACAGCTTCAAGTTCTTCATTTGCATCTCTCTTTTCCACGCCCTTGCCTTTACTTTTGCTTCTTTTGGCGACCACCTCCTCCTGTTACATTATAAACTATATATTATGAGAAAGAGAGAGAGAGAGAGAGAGAGAGAGGTTGCAGACAATAGACCTATTCAGCCGGTGAATTCGAACTTTAGGTCTCTTCCATTGATGTTGCTGGTGGACAGTGAAATCTAGCAGATGATATGGATTCAATTCTGATGTATTCACACACATTTTTTTCAACTAGAACTCAGTTGGGGGGAGATAGAGAGAGAGAGATGGATAATAGAAAGAGAAATAGAGTTTTTAGGTTATGGGTAAGAGCTGAATGAGTAGAAAGTGAGAAAAGGATGAATTATATATACAGCAGGGTATTGTGTTTGCAAGAGAGAGAGAGAGAGAGAGAGAGAGAGGCTTTTGATAGCAATAATGGCATGAAGACTTGTTACATTGGCCAGCAAGGAGCAACCCCATCTAAAGAAGGTGGTGAAGGAGGAGAGTTTTTTCAGGTCCTTTTTTGGCCTTTTTTTTATTACAAAATTTATGTCTAAGACTCTTGGGTGGGCACACAGAAAAGGACCAAGCGCCCCACAACTTTATGATGTTGCTTTTTGAATCTTAGAACCTTCTCCTTTTGTTTTCTTGACAGTCTGTGGTCTTAAATGTTACCATTGTTATGCTAAAATGGAACTATTGTCACGTGTAGTAATCAAATAAATGGTATCATCATGTAGAGAACAACTTGATGTAATCTTTGAACTAGGCTAATAACCCCAGGGGGTTGGCTCATCAGGTCTAAGGTAAGGTAAGAAGAATGATTCTTAAACCTAAAACTCATAAGCTAGAATGCTAATAGAACGAATTTCTATTCCTTGGATGCATTGTATCGTATTCTTTTATAGTTTCATGTTTCAATCTCCTAGTTTGGTTTAATTCATATATACCAGTTGATGTTACTCAAATTCATTTTTGTGTTAGGAGTCTCATGTTTTTGTTCTCTTGCTTTGATTGCTGTAGATTCTCATTTGCAGTGATGTTTGGAAGTATGGTTTACTGAGAACCCTACATGCTTCCCAAACTGGTAACTATGGTACAGAAAGGACCAAATGTCTGGGATATTATCTTTACTAATTTCTCCTAAACATGCATCTATATTGAGACAAATGAGCAACTAATCTGATCATCACAATATCAAACATGGATGGACTTTATTTAATGTTTCATACTCAGTTAAGCAAAACTATAAATTACTTCCCATAACCTTTTATTTTCTTAAAAAAAAACAAGAGAAAATTTCACACGGTTTGCATGTGCAAATCAGGTGCCACCACACAAGTGTATTTAATGCGAGCTGTTCCTTCTTTCGCCCTGTTCTACATGTAATTGAGTACCAAAGCTTTGCTCATTGATTTGGAAATTGAACCCTTATTTTGGCTTCATCTTCTTCTCCATCATCATCATCATTACACACACACACACATCCTACAAATGGGATGATGATGGTGATGAAGAAGGTAAGATGGTGATATTTATATATCTGTCCACCTTCATCTGTGCCACTTCACATGGTCTCTAAATTGGCCAGTTGTCTTGGATCCAATGCTCATCAGGGACTATGGTATTATATTGAATCTAGCACCAGGGCTTTTTATGTAATTGAAATGCCACTGGGCGTACTGTAGAAAATGGTAGAGAAAATGCTTGTCCCAATCATTTCTTTAAAAAATGCCACTATTATTTATACAATTAGATGACACTTGTGTGGAAAAAATGGCTTCATTTCGGCTCCGATGTAAAATATATATATTTTTATGTATTTTCTGGTGTTTGATTGTCGTAAAATATTTACGAAAAAAAAAATTTTAAACCTAAAAAAAGAACTTATTCGTCAATTTTTAAGAGTTTATTTTACACGCTCCATCTGATGGACTTGATTTTAACCTTGATCTAGATTTTTACTAAACATCAAAAAATAAAAATAAAAGAATATATTTTATATAAAAAAAGAAAATATTACATATATATATATAGTCGTGGAAGTGTGTACACAGTGCATACACAATCACATACATATTATATATATATATATTTATATATATATAATAGATATGTATATTTGAAAGCATACATGGGTTGGGGGACTTCAGTGCATACACAATCACATATATATAACCATAAGGGTATGATGAGGAAGTGAAGTCCCCCAACCCATGTATGGTCTCAGTCCTTATCAATTGGCTCCGCACAAAGTCCATAAGGGTATGATGAGGAAGTGAAGTCCCCCAACCCATGTATGCATATGAATGAATGCATACATGGGTTGGGGGACTTCACTTCCTCATCATACCCTTATGGACTTTGTGCGGAGCCAATTGATAAGGACTGAGACCATTAATCTTCACTTACTGCTTGTATATTCACAATGCAACCAGAGTAGAGATGAGGGGTAGTCAATAAAGAAATGAAATACCCCCTATATTCAAAAATGTTTTAATTGCCCTATGTATGGACATGTATACCTGTTGAATTTTGTGTTGATGGATTTCTGTTTGTGCTCTCCCACATATTTGACTATTTCAATTTACCAACTGTATTAACATCATGGTTTTGTGCTGAAATTGCTAAGTCCTTTTAAAAAATAAAATAAAAAACAAAAAAATCATCTGAAATTGCAAGTCCTTTTTAAAAAAAACAAAAAAGTCATCTGAAATTGCAAGTCCTTTATAAATAAATAAATAAAAAGTCATTAGGTTATGTTTGGTAGGCATGAAATTGGAACTTTGGAATTGAAATCGGTGAAATTGATAAAAAACAACTAAGAAAACTAAACCAAAATTTTCTCTAATTTTACCAATTTCAATTCCAAAACTTTAATTTCATGTTGCCAAACACATTCTTAGGATATTTCAGTGTTTATAACACTGTACCCTACCAAATAATTTTAGTGGGTAATACAAACATATATTACTGTATGTATAAAGGCTATTTAATGTCGGACAAGAAAATATATAGAGAGAGTATAAAAATTATGAAACATTTTAATTGGGATTGTGCCTAAATATCTGCTAATTTAGTTGTAGCTTTGAAGGATGTATTCACACGTCAACCATACAAACAATTCATTTAAATAAGAAGTGTATTATGCCAAGGAGTGGAAGGAAAAGATTAGTAAAAGATTTCAATTGTCAGATGTCAATTGAATTTTTTTTTTTTTTCTAAATTAAACTGTCACATTTGTGGTTTGACTTACTAATATAATTTTACTTTTAAGATATTTTGAATATTTGATATTATTATTATTTTTCGTTTAATGACATGATCGATGAGGTACGCATTAGTTTCACATGCATTGGCATGGTAAAGTAAGTCATCAATCATGGTCGTCTCACCGTCAACTATGCGGTCCATTTCACCATCACCTGCAATTCAAAATAGAAATCTAGGGTTTTCTGCTACTCAATGATATTTATTATATAGGGCAATCGATTGCCTGTAAGATTAGTACACGCCCTCATGCATGATCATCATCACACTTCTGAATCCTACCATCATAACATATACGAATATTTGCATGGCTTTTGTATAAGCTTGATGGAAAGGAAAATTTATGAAGTAGGCGCGCAACCTCATGGAACATTAATTAAGAGCAAATTATATATATATATATATATATATATATATATATATATATATATATATATATAGTACTTTTGCATTGATTAACCTTGCTAATATAGTATTTTTTTTTAATTTTATTCGGAAAAGGATATCTAATCTATCGTAGAGTTGTATTAAGAGGTTTGTAATTTATTACCACCCTTGGCATTCATTTTTCTATTTCTGCATTTTTCATTGCATAAAGGGCTTAATGAAATTTTCAATTCCAATACAAATTTTTCAACAGTTTATATTGATGATGTTTTAATATTTTCATCACCTATAGATCAACATTTCAAGCATCTAAAAGACTAAAACCTTTTTACCAGATCATTCAAAAGACTGGTTTAGTTCTTTCCAAACCAATTTTTAAATTTTGTCATACAAAAATAAGATTCTTAGGTCATGAAATTTATCAAGGCACACTAGATCGATATATATATATATATATAGAGAGAGAGAGAGAGAGAGAGAGATACACACACACATATAAAAGATAAGATTGCAACTACTAAAAAAAAAAAAAGCAAAAGCAGGTATGATACATGTTGGGAAAATATTGAAATATAAGCCTAATATCACAATATTTTTCTAACGTACATCATTAACTTGGAGGACTAACTTACCAAATATAGTGAACATATGTTTGGACATTCTTGTTTTATATTTTCATTGTCAAATGAAAAAACAATTCATGAATACATTTGACTCAATAACATTAGTATTAGTATAAATAATAAAATGAAGAAATTTTTTAATTTTATAAGTCAGCAAAATTGGGGTCTGGTGATAGGTTAAATCATGAATATATATTTTCAGATCATGAACATAAATCACACAAATGTGTCCAGAAAAAGTTTATACTCTATACCCATCTAGTGTTGCATCTAGCTTGATTTTATTTTGGATGCAACTACTATTACATTTAAACTGGGATTGGGTGTTTGAAACTTGCATATGATCATCTTTGTGTGTGTTTGATTTAACTATATATATATATATATTATTATAGAGGATTGAGGAGGACACAGATTTCTGTGTCTTTGATGATCCAGCGATTGCAACTTGGACGGGCTAATTTTAACCCAGCCCAAACTTTCACAGAGTCATTCTTTACATTGAAGTCTAGGTGACTAATTCAAACCCAACCCAAACTTTCAGCGAGTTGGGCTGATAGGATCGGCCCACCTGAATCTATACATATTTATATAATTGTAATCGTTATCAACCTCTTTCTTTTGCAGCCATCCAACTCTCTTTGTATAGCTATTACTCAGGATATTGGGTCTCTGTTGCTTAAAAATCTGGGGTTTGAGCTATTATGGTGTCCTAGATTTTGTAACAAAGTTGCTCATAAAGTGGTAAGTGGGCGCTTCATCAAGGGGAGGGAGACTTGCATTGGCAAGTTTGGCTGTCATGGCTTCTTTCTGTACTTAATGAGGATATTTCCTCTTCTGCTTAAGGTTTACTGCTTGGAGGAAAAAAAACAGAAAAACCTTTTTCTTTTTCTAATTCTTTATACTTAAATCTTGAATTTTTATTCTTATAGATTATTCTTTGAACATCTAATTTCTTCAAAACTTAGTTACATCTTTTTAAATATATATATTCAAATTTTATAACTTTATATGGTAAGAGTAGTAGAACACAATTAGACCATGGTATGATGAGAGACTTAATGTTGTGTTTGGTGTGCAGAAATGGAATGAAATGCAAGTGAGAATGAGAATGGAATTGTTTGGTTGTAAATATGAAATGTGTAGCAATGAAATGATAATAACAATTCTAATGTTTGGTTGGAGTAATTTAAAATTTAGAATGTAATAAATTTCAAATTGAGTTCTCCAAAATATCACTCTTAGTAACAAATAAATTAAATTAATAAAATGACATTCTTCTATAAATTTTTAAAAATAAATGAAGGCAGTGGCGGTGGTGGATGGTGATGATGATGGTGGTGGAGGTGAAAAACGGTAGTGGTGTAGGTGAAAAACGGTAGTGGTGTAGGTGGTAGGGTGGGAAGGCGGCGATTGAGGCAATAGTGTTGGTGGAAGGCAGTGGCAGTAGCGTGGTGGTGGTGATGGAAAGAGATAGCGGTGTAGTGGCGGTGGTGGAATCTAATGGAGTTGATTGTTGTGGTGGAAGGCAGTGGAGATGGTGGAAGGCATTAGAGGTGGTGGTGGAAGGCTGTGACAACAATAGTAAAAGGCGGTAACGATGGTGGTGATGAAAAGCGGTGGCAATGGTGACGGTGGTGAAAGGTGGAAACGTTGGCGGAAAGCGATGGCGGTGGTGGTGGTGGAAGACGATGGCGGCAGTGGTGGTGAAAAGTAATGGTGGTGGTTGTAGAAGGTGATGGCAGTGGTGGTTGTAGAAAACGATGGTGGTGGTGGAAGGTGGTGGTTGTAGAAGGCGATGGCAGTGGTGGTGGTGGTGGTAGAAGGCGGTGGCAGTGGTGGTGGTGGTAGAAGGCGGTGGCGGTGGTAGTAGTGAAAGGCGGTGGCAGTGGTGGTTGTGGAAGGCAGCGGCGGTGGAAGATGGTGGCGGCGGAAGATGGTGGCGGTGAGAAAGGCTGTGGCGGTGGTGGCTGTGGTGAAAGGCTGTGGCGATAGTGAAAGGCAGTCGCGGTGGTAATTGTGGCAAAAGAAGGCGGTGGTGGAAAGTTGTGAGAAGTGGTGAAATTTGGTGGCGGCAGTGATTATAGTGGAAGTCGGTGGTGGTGGTGGTTGTGGTGGAAGGCAGTGGTGGTTTTTGGATTTGGAATATGAGATTTTTTTAGAAAGTTGATTTTTAAAAGAAATTTACTTGGGAATGAAATGACCATTTCATAGGCTTAGTTGTGAAATGAATTTTTATTCCAATGGAATAGTCATTTTCACTTTAAATTGTATACCAAATAAAAAAATGGTTGAAATGAACATTTCATTCTATTCCATTCTTGCATATCAAATGGTTGATCGAATCCAGAAAGTCCCTTACACATCATAAAGGTTCAATCTTTCGTTGATGGTATTGCTTTAGTTAAAGATTAATGGCAATTCAGATATTCATTTTTAGTACTGTTAATTTCCCTCCGTGTTAAAGATGCAACATTAATGGTATATTTCTTACATCGTAAATCAGTAATTGTATGTATTTTATAAAATAAAAACTATTATTAAATTTTTTCTAATTTTAAATTCAAAGATGCGAATTGCTCCCAAACTCAACATATTTGGATTACTGGAAAACTGAAAATACAAGCAAAACTTGAAAATGCTATTGTTAACATGTATGCACAAAATGTAAACTTCCAAATAGAAAATGCCATGTAAAATATCTCCTGCAATCCCTATTATTACTACTTACGAAGACATTTCCGTGTGTGAAATATGAATTTATCAGCTTTAAATGTAATATTCCTATCGATTAATCTTGATTCTCGAGCCAATCAGAAGACAATATGAACTTTTCTTTTTGGAACATTTGGATGGCTAGGGAAAAAAATTGATACTATGCATAAGGCCATCTCCAATGCTAAAAGCTATTTTCGCATATCAAATCTATATTTTGACAAGTGCTACCATGTCAAAATGTTACATTTTAGCAATTCTGCTTTAATGGTGCATTTCATACAAAATGTTATTTTTTGACACAACCACCATTCTTTTTCAACTATCATTCCCACCATTCATATTTGCACCAGTAATATTAATATTAGGCACATTCTAAGTGAAGTTGTAGACATTAGAAGGAAACTAAAATTAAACCTAATTGAAAAGAAGCAAAAATCTAAAATATCTGGTCAAAAAATGACTAAAAAAAAAACAAATTTTTTATAATTTTTTTACCACTATTTGTGAATTAATTTTTGTATATAAATTTTTTTTTTCGAAAATTTATATATATTATATATATATGTATATTATATATATTTGATTATATATATATATATAGGGCAAATCATTTCAGCCTCTCACCTCCATCTCTATTCTCGTTCTCAACTATGAGAACTTGCCCTCTCTCTCTCTCTCTCTCTCTGCAACTGCAAACTACAAAATTTACAAGAATCAGAAGTTTAAAACCCATATATTTCAGTTTTTCTATCTGTCTGCAAGAATCAAAAGTTCAAAACCTATTACCTATATCAAAACCCATATCGGCGTATCACTTCAGCTTGTTCAAAAAATCAAAATCCATATCTTTCAGTTTCCATCACCCGCTATTCCAGTTCGGGTTCGCCGTTCGCAAGCTTTAGCCGCTGTCTCTCAACCTCAAGCTTGCCCCCCCTCCCTTTCTGCAACTGCTAATCCAAGTTTGTAGGGGAAGAGAAAATACAAAAATCAAACAACAGAAGCAGGAGGTGGTGTTTGTCGCCTTTAAGCGCCGGTCGCCGTCCATAATGGCCGGCCGTTGCAGATGGATGATAGAGAGAGAGACGGTCGTTACAAATGGATGAGAGCGAGAGAGAGAGAGGGAAGACAGAGCAACAAAATAAGTCAAATAGTTATTGCTATTTGTTTTGTTAGATTTGGCATCAAAAATGGGAAAGACAAATTTTGGCAGGCCATATAGCAGCCCATTGGAAAACTCAATTTTAACCCACCTGCTATATTTTGAACTGGCAGCCTCATTGGAGATGCTCTAACACAGGTTTGAATCCTAAGAGGGGCCACTTTATAATAATAATTAAATTAAATTAAAAAAAAAGTGCCAAAAATTAAGTCTACATTCAATATACCCCACTTAAGGTCATCAGCATCAGCCTCTTCGGATTTTGGCTCTAAAAAAATGTTACTTCAGCTTTTTCCAAGAGCCATATCAGCAATTCCAAGAGTCATGTTAACAGTTTTCGCTCTCTAGAAACATGCACTTCATCAGACTCTCCGAATTTTCGCTCTCTAAAAAAATATATACATAAAATTATTATTTTTTTAAAAAATTTCCTAACGGCTATTTTTTTAATCGCAATATTCCTAATAGTTATATTTGTAACGACTATATTTTCTTAACGGCAATATTTTTCAATAAAAAAATATTTTTGCAAATTATTAAAAAAACTAGGATTGATATTATAACTTGAAACAATACATTATCCATTATGGATTAAAAAAAAAAAAAACAATTAAAAAAATCTTAAACAATACAATATCTTAAATTAGAATAAGAAAATAAATAGACCAAGGATTAATGTAGGAGTTGCAGTATTTAAAGAAGAAAAGTGATTTTAAAATTTTTAATTAATTTTTTTTGAATAAAGTTAGAATTTTTTGAAATTTTAAACCTTTTTTTTTTAAAAAAAAAATTATAGCCATTAAGACACTGTTTGTATCAGCCAAACAATGCCTTAACGACCAAATACATTATTTGTGGTACACATTTAAAATTTAAAGAAATTTTTTTTTTTTAAAAAAAAACAAATTTTAAGGGAAAAAAAAAACAAAAAATAAAAGGTTTTTAATTTATTTTTGGCCCAAATAATTTTGTTTTTTGGACAAACAGTGCCTAAACAATATATTTTTTTTATTTAATAATTTTTTTTTATTTAAAAGTAACCTATTTTTGGGTTTTTTTTTTAAAAAATAAAAAAAAAATTCTACAGTGCCTTAACCGTTTGAAAAATAAAAGGCGATCGCGGGCTGGCTTGCGAAATACTGCTAGACAGCCCATGAGCCAAAGTGAACCCCGCCCAATTAAGCTAGCCCACTGCTTGGGCTCTCAAATCACGAGCCCGCGAAATACTGCTAGACGGGCCATGAGCCGAAGTGAACCCCGCCCAATTAAGCTAGCCCACTGCTTGGGCTCTCAAATCACTAAAGAAGGGCTTTAGCTAACCCACTGCGAATGGCCTAATATCGTCAATTAAAGGCACATACGGGATAAACACTTTGTATCAATTTTATCATTCGTGTATCATACAATTCATGGGAAATATTGTTGGTGGCTTCCAAATGAATAGAGAGAAGGATTTTTTTTTGTTGACTATTGAGATTTTTGGAGCCACTTAAATCGCCCTATAATTCACAAGGAGGCACATATAATCCCATTTCACATGCGTCGGACAATTATTAGAAAATTTTAATAAGAATCACCCTCTGGAATAGCTTGTGTGTGTATATATACGGTGTTCCATGTGTTTTTCCATACATGTCTTTCCATTCCTGCAACTACAATTTCATGTTCCCAACTGAATTAACTGTTTGGACGACTCTTAATATTTCCATACTTTGAGAGTCCCTTCCTCAAGTGGTATTTAACACCACCACCCACATGCATATATCCTGTCTCCCATCACAAGTGCAGAAACATAAAAAAATTTTACGATATCAAAATTATTTTGAACACTCAAAATTTTTGGGTTGAATGCGGAACACCTAGTATTTAAAAAAGGAAAAGGAAAAATTCAGGAATTAGAAGTTATTGAGAAATATTCATACAAATAACTTCTCAACAAAAGGGTAAAAAGAGGTTGTGCTTCTAAACCTAAGTTGATGTGAAGATTCAATTTCCCTTAACCGCAATAATTGGTGTATAAACTTTATTGTAATGTGTGCATTAAGCAATACATAGTTACTACATAGGAGTACATTATACAGTACATGTACCAACGGGCGGCCTAGTCATATGAAGCTTAAGGGTTGAAGCCTCCTGAGACGTTATTGAATATCAACTAGGAAAAAATATATATATATATAATACCTATTATTAATGTGTGTGTATATATATAATATATAAAGTTCCATGTTACCCTACAATGTTAATTTAATTCTATTTTGAAAAGGGTCCATTCCAAATTAATCCCACTATAATTAGCTGAATCTAAAATTGTCAATGAACAAGCACATAATAATAAATGTTCCAAAACCATATCAAGCAAATCCTCCTTTATATCACTTACCCCGAAAGATGAATGTGGTGTATAAATTGCTGTCCATTGACAACCTTTATTCTATTCCTTTGCTCATCAAAATAAGACTACTCTAAAAAAACCAGCTAGACTACCACTTTCTGAACCATCTCGTGTGTGTGTGTGATGATCATAATAATATTATATACTACTATAGAGAGAGAGAGAGAGAGAGGGGTTGCTCTCATGGTCTCACCAAAACCATTCGCCAACCAGAAAACATATCCAAATTCTGGAAAGATCTGTGTATAAAACCAAGAGGCAAGAGGCAAAACCACCATTAAAAGGTGGGCCCAAACCTTATCTCCTCGCTCTCTCTCTCTCACTCGCACACATCCTAGAAAACAAACCCCCCCATCCCATTATCCCATGCGCTCTGATTCCGCCACCATCACCAACACAAAACAAATCACAGATTGAAAAGAAAAAAAAAAAAAACACTAATAGAGAATTGAAAAACAGAGCATAATCCACCACCACCAGAGTGTTCTTGGTACCACAGACCACCACTACTGCTAAAATGCGCAGCTGTTTAATTGAACCCTCCAAATTCCAATTAATCAAAATATAAAAAAATAAACTAAAACCTCTCTTGGTAACTGATAGCAACACAAACACTCCAAAAATAAAATGTAGAAATTAAGAACAAAAAATTAATTAACAAACCTGGTGGAACTACGACTTAAGACAAGAAAATTGAGATAATTACCGACACAGACGGTATGATTAGGGATTTCAACAATGCCGGGGATTTCACGTCGCCGGCGGCATTATCTGTCGTGCTGTTCTCCGACTCAGCCGCTGGACCTTCCGAGGGAGCTCCTTCCGGAGTGGACATCGGCGGTGCCGGAGGCGACAATGCGGGTGTCGGAACCTCCGCAGATTCAGGGGCCGGACTAACGGCCGGGGCAGGCGAAGCCACAGGCTCCATCGCCGGTGCCGGAGACGGAGCTGTACCGAACAACTCGGTCGGAAGAAGAACACTGTCGACAGTGAAAATGCAGAGCGGCGTCGAGTCAATGACGGTCCCGGCGATACGCGACGAGTCAACTCCCGAGTGGAGAGTGACCTCGTCCCCGGCAGTCGCGACGGTCAAATCGAACTTCCCGGCGCCGTTAGTCGCCAACGTACTGATCGGAGTTTTTGTCGTCTTCAACGACCCAATCGGCGTGTAACTCGCCAAGGCGTGATACTGTAGGAGCGAGACCACCTCAGCATTCGTGAGCTTGCTCAGATCTGGCATTCCCGCAGCCTTAAACGCCTTATCCGACGGCGCAAACAGAGTCAAACCTTTTTCAGCCGCCGTCTGATACACTTTGAGCACACCGGTCGACAAAATCAACGACGCAAACGTCTTACACCCAGCCTTCTCCAGCAAACCGGTGATATTCGCATCGGAAGCCGACGGCGCCGGAGCAGTCAGAATCGCCTGCGCAATGATCGGCTGGCTGATTTCCATGACCGAGATATTGTACGGCACTTGTTTGACGGACTTGGTGTAGCTGGAGTCGATAGGCGAGCCGGGAACAGCGGAGCCGAAGCCGACCTTGCCACCTTTGAGGTCGGTGATGTTGACAAACCCTAGGTTTCCAGGGGCATTTCCGGTGGTCTGGTACAATGTAGTGGAGAGAGTTGTGCCTTTAGGGATCTGGTGGAGCTTTTGGTTGTCGAAGTAGTCCAAGAGGATGTGGAGGGCGAGCTCGTTCTTGATGACGGAGAGGGGGTGTTTGGCTGCGAGGGCGGACATGGCTCCGTTGTTGATAACGAGGACGGTGATTGTGTCGCGACTGTTGATCTCGTCAGCGAGCTTTGTTTGGGTGAGGTAGCTGTTGAAGAGGCTGTATTCTGGGAAAGGTAAGAGCATATCTGTGATGTTGTGAGCTCTGGTACTGGAAATGGCAATGAGTGAGAGGGTGAGAAGAAGGACGTGTAGTGCACCCATGGCGAATGTTAGCACAGGACAGCACTGGAAGAGAGAGAGAGAGAGAGAGAGGTAAGAGTAGGGGAGAGAGAGAAGGGTATTAATTGTGAGAAGGGAGGTTGAGGTTTGAAGTTAACTAGGGTTAAGGAGTTTTAACCAGGGATAAGGGAGTGTGGTTTAACTATAGTTAACATATTGGATGCCATGTGTGAGACAGAAGAGTGTTGTTCATCTTTTGGTCACACAGCTGGATATCTAAAATTGTTGGCATTATATAATAGAAACTTTTTTCCTGAAATGACAGATATGTCCCCACCACCTTCTTACTTGTAATAATCAGGTCGTAACGGTTCTTAATCCATAACGGTTCTTAATCCATAACGGTTCTTAATATGGGACATGGGACCGCAATTGAATTACGTGTACGAGTCTTAACATAGTCAAACTCAGTCTTTAGACTAACTTATATTAACTATAAATCACATATGGTATAATAATTAATTTTATGGTACTTTCTTACAAGATATAAGCTGGAGAGAAACCATGCCTAAAGAACTACTCTCTGTGAATTGATCGCTAACCCAAAAAAAAAGTAATTGTAAATACATGGTGAATTACTAGTTTTAGATCTCAAAATTGGAAATTTTACGTTATTATATTACATTTTAGATGTATTTAAGCGCATAAGATATATGAGGTAGATCTTATTTTCCTTGTTTTTTTATGTTAGCAAAAAAATTCATACATCAATATTATCTTGTAGAGACTTAAATGTTCCACTTTTTAGTTTGAAAGATAAGAAGTATAACTTGGTCACAATTTTTAGTGTTAAATGTATGAAAATTTCAGACTTTCAAGAATTGAAACAACCCAATTAATAAAATTTGCAATATTTTTTATCCTACATATTGCTCGAGTGAAAAGGAATTGAATTACATAAATTGTTTTGTGCAATTGATGGGCCGGGTCAGAAATTACTTATTCCTGTTCCAAGTTCTATAAATTTAAATTTATAAAGTAAAAATTTATAAAACTATACAAATATAGTATTATCTATACTCTGTACAAACTAAATATTTATTGTTTTAAAATTTTTAAAGAATTTTTAATCTATAATTTATTCATCATGTTAAAGTTCTACAAAATATATTTGTCTTGCAGAGAAAAATGAGAGGTCGAGAGTAATTTTACAAAAGGTGACCTTGAGAAAAAGTGTTGTATATATCCAATTTTGGAAAGTTTTTAGTTTCCTTTTTGTGGGGAGAAAGAGAAAGCACCATGTTTGTTTTTTTATTTTTTTTCATACCATGCAAATCCGGCAGACTCTTTTTTTTTTTTTAATTGTTGGAAACATAGCATGGAAAACATAAGCTTTGGGCAAAATTTTGAATAGGTCCCACTAAGAATTTCTTATAAATTTATAGTTGAACGCGTTCCTCTCCATAAGGAAATGAACGTGGTATATTTACTTTTTCAAATTTATTTTTGTGTGAAAGATAAATTAGCTCCAAAGTAAGATATTTTTAAAGATATGTAAAATATGATAAGTGGGTGTCTCATATTAAAAATAAAGTGAAACCAATTACATGTTATATAGCTTGCGTTTGGAATTTGAGTTTGGCCCAAGGACACCTTATACATGGAAACTAGTAATTCTAATTAACTTAATAACTATGTTTGGAGTATACATTGTATTTTGTGTATCATTATTTACTGAATAAAAATTGTCACTCAAAAAAATTTAATCACAAGGTTCTTCTTCCCCTTTTTTTCTATTAGGAAAAAAAAAGGTTCTTTCTTCTTTGGTTTTGCAGCATAAAACTTATGAGGTCTTTTATGCTTTAACGGCATAAACAAAATGTGATGTTTACGCCTGTCACAAAAGCAAAAAGAGAGAAATTATGGGGTAACAAAAAAGAGACAATGAGCACATTGACAAAAAAACAAAAACAAAAATTACACCCACATTATTGGGTCAAGCCTGTGGTTGACCATGTCGTAGAAATGTGAGTTGGACAAGCCTACTAATTTGATGTGAATTGGATTTGGCAAGGAGTAGGGCTTGGACCATCTATAAAGCCCAGCCCAAGGAAAAAGGACAGCCCTCACAAAACTACACTGCAAAAACCCCACTGGTCCCTGGCAAGCAGCATTTGAGTGAGACTACTTGCCGATACACAGTGTGGGCCCACAGAAACTCTGACAAAGGCGCGTGTTGAGTGTATTTCAATTTCACGCTGACTCAGCATCTTAATCCAGTTGTAGGGCATTTATTTATAATTTCATTGACCTGTGTAATGTTGTTCACGCGTCGTGCAATGGATTGGGACTTATAATTATTGCATGCAATTTGTGTATACATAAATGTGAATTAATTGCAAAAGACCAACCAAAACAAATTTGCACGTAATCACCATTTATTTTTTTATTTTTTTGTATTGAAACTTTTAAGAGAACGATTTTTATTATTTTTTTATTATATTAATTGTGAATGAATGATCAAATTTATTCATAAGTGCCAAGTGATGTGATAGTTTATTTTTTGAAAAGTTGTAATTAGAGTTGTCCAAACGATTGTCTTTGTACAGTCGCATAATTGGTTATCTTAAAATTACAGACTAATTAATTTAACGTCTTCTGCTATTATGGGACAATTAAAATATAAATTATAGGACAAAAGTGCCCTTTTAATTATTTATTCTTTCATAAATTGATTTATATATATATATAAACACTAATGTGTATATATATATCAATAACATTACCATAATGAATTATGATTATTTTCTTTTTTTCTTTTAAAAAAAATTGTCTGTTGGGGATGGATTCTTCTTTTAATTACCTTTCTATATATATAGTGTATATATAATTTTATATAGTGTGTATGAATTCATAATAGAGAGATAAGACGGTTTGATTAGCAAATATTAGATGATAAATATATATATATATATAGAAAGATAATTAAAAATCACAAAAAAAGGGTTTAAAATATAAATTTCTAGGACAAAAGTGCCCTTGTAACATTTTTCTCTCCCTTCAGTCGGAGTGCATATATATATATATATATATATATATATATATATATATATATGAATTCATAATAGAGATATAAAATGTTTGTAGATGCCTCGATAGCTTAGTGTGTTGGTAAGGTTTCATCTTCATCTATTAATTTAATTTTTAACCTTGCTTAGGGATGGCAATTTGACCCGGCCCCGCGGTTACCTGCCCCACCTCGCCCCGTTTCTAACGATTTTGGGAAATTATTTAGCTTATTTGGGCTGAGATGGTTTGATGTAATAAAAACTCATGCGGGTATGGTGCAAGGGCGGGGGGAGGTTACCCTATGCCCATTTAGATAGACAAATTACTTAAGTATTCTTATTTCATGAGTATATATATTTCCCAATATAGATATAACAATATTAAAGTAACAAACGAATTTGATTAGAAGAAAGTTGCAATGGTAAAGAACTGAAGATGAGAGGGGAAAAGAAAAAAAAAAAAAAAAAAAAATCTATTTCAACAATAAATAAATTATGGTCCTAAATGAGGCGGGGCGGAACGGGTACCCGCGGGATAAAAATGTTAAACGGTTGTGGGAATGAGATGAAAAGTCCCTCTGTTTTTGCTATTTTGGGCAGGGACGAGAGCCGGGTTTTTAGACGGTTACGGAGTGGGAGAGGGTACACCTACCCCTGTTGTCATCCCTAACCCTGCTTGTCTTTAATTTTTTTTAATAATAATAGCAAAGATTAAATGATGGGAGGACATGTTTGTATATATAGATACTTGTGACAGGAGAAAAAAAGAGAGTAGATGTTTATATATATATAAATCGAGGGGAGAGAAAAGTGTTAAAAATGTACTTTTGTCCTATAAATTTATGTTGTGAGAGGAGAAAAGAAAGAAAGAAAGAAAGAAAGAAAGTAGGTGTTTATATATATATATAGACAGATGGGAGGGAAAAAAAGTGTTAAAAGAACATTTTTGTCTTATAAATTTATATTTTAAATGTCTCAAGACATTTAATTAATTAACATGTAATTTTAGGAATTCAGTGCGACAATGTAAGAAGATTAAATTGATAATATTACAAAAAAAATAGCACATTAACTTTTAAATAAGACACTTACTTTGGAACGAATAAAAGTAAAAAGGTTGATACCTGTGTTTTACACTGAAGGAGTAAATCATTAAAATTAATATAGGGCACAAAAAATTGTAAGCAAGAGAAATTTGTAACCTTATCCTTGGAGTGATAATTGATGTTTATGTCTTGACAGACATGATTATCATATTATGTAACACGACAAGGCTTACCTTAATTTATATATAATGTCGTGTTAGTTCTTAATTAAATTTCAAAATATTAAGATAATTTTTTATCACAAACACAATAAGTTTATTTGGCACATTCAATTAATTGACTAGTTTTATAACATGAATGTGTCAAGATGTTTAATTAAATAAGATTTGACAATTCAAACATGATCATGATATATTTAATTAACCTATTAATTTATGTTGATAATACAATTAAAAAACGATTAAACTAAACTTAAATCAACTTATTTAATTTGTATCATGTTTAAGTCATGTTAATATGTATGTCATGTCACGTATTGTCACTTTAAATTTATATTTATTTTAGTTTTAGGTAAAATTTATGAATGTATAATTAAACTAAACTTAAACCTACTTATTCTGTATCATGCCTGAGTCATGTTAACACATATATCAGGTTTTGCCATCTCCCATTACTATTGGACTAAATCTATATTTATTTAGGTTTTAGAAATTAAGTAAAATTTCTGAGTGGATGATTAAACTAAACTCAAATTTATTTATTTGGAATCATGTTTGAATCACTTCAGGTATTGCCACTTCGCATTATCATTGGACTAAATATATGTTTATTTATTTACGTTTTAGAATTCAGTTAAAATTTATAAAAGTATGATTAAACTAAACTCAAATTTACTTATTTTTGTAACATGTTTGAGTCATGTCAAGTTACTTCGATTACAATTGAATTAAATTTATGTTATTTATTTCCGTTTTAGAATTTTTAGAATTCATTGAATTAAGAGAGTAATTTAAAGAAATTGCAATACAAGTTTTATTTTTAACGATTTATTATTATTATTTTTTGTTATCTAGATAATAAATTTACACATTTATTTTTGCTCTTGCAGATGGGGTTCTAAGCAGATTTTTTAGTATCTCTAGTTTCTTAAATAAAATAATACAAAAGCAATATGTAAATTCTATATTTCAAAGGGTCTCTGTGCAACACATTAATTGGAATATCTTTTGAAATTTACCTGCAGTCTGTATAAGGCTGAACTGAATACTGTCAGAATCAAGTCTGACACTACTTTTAATCTCTCATCTCTTTCTCGCTCTTTCTTTTCCCCGCCCTCTCTCTCTCCAACTTTCTCTCTCTAAAATGGTGAATGGGTTAGCTGCATGCCAGTGAGTCGTTATGTGGCGTGATGTTAAATATAGGCAGTTTTGGTTTTGTATACATCGCCTCTAAAGTAAAAACAACCCTTATTTAGTACTCTCTCTCACACACAGTCTCACTGAGAAACGCAGAGACACGCGGATCTTTTATCACTGAATACTCTACTGTTGTTGCGGTCTCTGCAGTTCGGACTCTCTGTCCTCTCTTTTCAAACTTCCCCACTCGCAGCAAATGCAAAAATGGAGCACCAAACACTTCGTAGCATCCTTCCTGCTAACTCTGGTTCACTCTCTCTACCCTTCTCTCACTATATATATAATATATATATTGTTTGTGTATAAACGTACGATTAATTATGAATATTTATGTGATGAAGGAAAAGGTGGTGTTGGAGGCAGGAATCACTGGGACAAGGCATGGCCGGTGATGAGTAGTAAAGGGGAGGGTCTAGTGAGAGAAGGATCACCGTCGATCAAGTTTGGTCTAGGGATTGGTGTATGCTCTGGAGGACCGAGCCATTTGATCCAATCTGGGTTCACGCCTGTTCAATTGCATGAGCTCAACCTACAAGCCCTCATATTCAAGTACATAGTAGCTGGTCTTCCTGTACCTTTCCACCTTCTGCTTCCCATCCGGAAGAGTGTTGAAGCCCATTTTGGCTCTGCTAATGGTGGAATCTATAACCAGTTTCCAAGCTGTAAGTGAATTTTATTTTCATTTTAAATTGGTTTCTTTATAAAATTGGGTTTCTCTTGTGTTGGGGTTTTATATTTAAAGTTTGAGATGGGTTATGTTGATTAGACTGTTTTGTTTGTTTGTTTGTTTTGGTACTGTTGATTTATGTTGGAAATTTTGATCTGAGTTTTGCTTCTTGAGGTGGGTTAAGGTATATCAGGCTTAGAGTTTAAGATTTTGTTTGCTTGAGAAATTTCAACTGTGATTCCAGTGTTAGAGATGGATTTCTATGTATTATATTTGAAATTCGGAATAGCTTCTTTTAGCACAATTGTTCTCAGGGATTTATTTGATTTTATTTTTTCCTTATTTTTGTTTTTTGTTCAGTGTTTCGTTGGGTTAGGGTTGGGGTTGGGGGTTGTTCGAGTACAGACGGCTTTCTTTTTGTCATACTTGAATTTGAGATGTGAAGATTTCTTTATGTTTCTGTGAATTTATTTGGTAAATTCTGACCCCAGTGTTGTTTTCTGATCTAAGTTTATGCTTATTGGACCTGAAATATGATATGGGTGTATTATACGGTTATACCCAGAAGAAATTAACATAATATCTCTGGTTCTGATAGGGAATTTGGATATGGCCCATATGGGTTTTTCTCATTGAAGTGCATTTATAATAATTCTTAAGTGAATTGGAGATGGGTTTTTGTTTTTCTAATTGCTTTCACTGATTTGACTTTAGGTTTTTCGAGAATGGGTTTTGTGTTTCTCAGACTTGAAATTTGAACTAAATTTATAGAAGTTGGATTGAATTTGCTTTGTTTATTGGGTTTCAGTGAGAAATTTTGATCTGGTTTCTGTTTCTGTGATTGGTTCCAGTCATAGGATTCAGTTATCAGGGATTGGATTACAGGAGCGTGATGGATCCTGAACCTGGAAGGTGTAGAAGAACTGATGGAAAGAAATGGAGGTGCAGTAAGGATGTGGTTCCGGATCAGAAATACTGCGAGCGGCATATGCACAGAGGTCGTAATCGTTCAAGAAAGCTTGTGGAAGCTTCTGAGATTGCTTCAGAATCAGATGCAAGCACAGCCATCAATTTTAGTACAACCGTCTCAACTCTCGGTTCTAGTAGCACTTATAAAACAAATGCCAAACACTCCACCACAGTCCCTTTAAACCTTCAATTAAAGACCCCCTCTTCTGATATCAGCCGCAGCGCGCCGACCACTGTTATTGCCACCACTAGCTCTATCAGTAGCTTCAGCAGAAACAACTACACTTTTGATGTTAATAAAGGTTCAACTCCCCCACCCACCGCTATCACCACCTGCACTGTTAGCAATGGAAGCAAAAGCAATGTTGGTGTGAAAAAAGAGCCCATCACCACCACCACAACTACCATCAATGCTACTTTTGGCAGCAACAACAATGGGAATAGTAATGACTGCATTAGTATTAAGGGTGGCTTCTGTGACCACATCAATGACAACAACATCCACAGAAGTAGCAACTTCGGAAGCAATGGTGGCATTTACGGCAGCAAGTCTATTGGATTTGGCTTCTCCCCAAGGAGTGTTCTTCAAGGTGGTACGAATATGACTGAAACCCCTTTTATCTGATTTGAATTCATGTTCTATCTTCTATCATTATGTTTGATCAGAACAGTAGTTGAAGTTTTGAGTTGCTTTTAGGACTGTTCTTTGTGTCTTTGGTTTGTTGGATTAAAGTAATGAGCTCTACTATTTTACTAATTTAGTCCTTTATTCTGGTTTCTTTTATTTTCTTTCATTTAGTAAGAGTGATGATTTCTCATATAAAATTATATAAACTGAAATCTGTGCCAATTATGTTCTAATAGTTCACTGTTGAAGTTCATTTTCCAACATTTTTAGGTACTGGTTCATTTATTTTTATTGTTTTGCCTGTGTTATCCTGAATTTGGAGTTTGGGACAAATGCTGATTTGCTTGTCCTATTAGTCAAACTGATCCTATGAGCAATGACGTGTGTTTCAGGAGTAATGACAAAATGGATTGCAGATAAAATGCATAAAAGCCAACTAAAGATAGGACGAAAGGGATATGGTGCACCTAACTTTTAACAACTATTTCCTCAAAAAAGACAAAAATCTCTTCCCAACTGCTCAACCACAATTACAATTTTGTAAGAAATTGTCATTGGGAAGTGGGGACCCCAGCAGTCCACTAAATTTATAACTATGTGTTTTTTTAGTCAATTTACATCTAAATTGGGGTGCTAAACCCCCTGTTTGGAGTTCAAGTAGCAATTGGACCTTAGATATAACAGTTCTTTTTTGGGGCTGAGACCAAACTACGAGCCATGAAGGTATGTTACCAGCAGGTCTACTGATATTTTTGATCTGACCTCTCAAAACTGTCAGGGTTTCTGCCTATGGTTTACGGCCTGTTTGAGTAAACTGGATTTGTCTTGACTTGTTACAAACTTTTAGTACAGAGGTTTAAATTTTAATAGGATCTTGGCTGGGCACTTGTCTTTCCATCCCTTGTTATACTAATTACTTACTATGTTGCGAAAACATACTCAAGAGATCAGTTATGTTGAACATGAATGTCCAATATTGTGAATTCACTAAAGCATACTTACCTGTGTCTGGATCTTCAGTGGAGTTGTCTCTCTAAAACCATTGCTTTTGTAAGAATAGTCGTTCTTATGTTGTGGCGTAATATGGAAAATTAAATTGAGTTTGTTGTTGGTCACATAGTTACCATTGGGAAGGTTTTTGTGATTGATGATTTGCTGCAGGCCAGAAGCTTTTAAAATTTGTGATTGTTTATATTTGCTGATCTCTGTTTGATGATGATGTTTGGTTATCGTTACAGTTTGTTTAGGGTCTATGCAAGATGTAACAGGTTTAGGTTTGATCTCTTTTAACTAAAAAGCTTCTCCGTATTGGCATTTTATAACTAATTGAAATTATCAGGTTTAATTGTTTGTTTAGAGGCATATTATACTTATTGCTACACAGATACTGACATATTTATATTTGCAGAAGATAAAAAGATCAGACTGTATCTTTCATAGCATAAGAAAATAGGAAAATATTGGGAAATGCAAGAGTTTAGTTTGGTTTCTTTGCTTTTAGGCGACCAATTTAGCCCCCTATATTGGTTGAGTTTTGATTGAGGGGATAGCTCGTAGTGTGGGGGCTTAATCAAGTCGCCTTGATGATTGAGAATAGTGTATTTAAATCAAGGTTTAGTCGACTTGTTCTGTAAGTGGACTGGGTTGAAGTTGAAACTCAATACCACCACCATTTAACAGTGATCAAGAACAACTTTGGGTTGGCATGGATGCCATTCTGTCATCTTAAACTTTGAGTATGTGTGGGAAAATTTTATATATTTTCTCAAAACCCTAAATACTGTCTATATTTTGTGTGTGTGTCAAATGATGTTCCCCCATAGTCAGGGTATTTCACACTACTTATTATATGTGTTCGTTGCTGTTGGTTAGTGGCTTTGAATATTGCTATTAATGGGGACTTCTTGATTTCTTTTTCTTCGTCTCTCACATCTATATGTTTTTTGAAGACTTGATTTGATTCTTTACTAATACCAACCAGTATGACTTGGTGACCAATGTCATTTTTTCTTTTTTATCACCAATATCTGGCAAACCTTTTCCCAACTTTGTGCACTTCTAATATATTCTCATACATTTTCTGACACTTGTGCATGTGTACGACATTAGGCTTTGTAACATATGTGCGCAGCAGTATGCATGGTAAAGCTTGCTTCCAACTTACAGAAGAAAATCTTTGCTTCCAACTTTGCGCACTTCTAATATATCCTCATGAATGTTGTGACACTACATGCATGTGTGCAACATTGTGCTTCGGTCGATTTGTTATGTATTTCTTTGGTCGGGGACCACTGGTCCAAATTTTTTTGTTTAACCAATTGCGCAGCGCATTATTTCATCCAGTATTGCGTTCTAAGTAGTGTCAGTAGACTACTAAATTTCCTGTTGCTTTGTTATATAGGGTTGATGAAGAAGAGGAAATATATCAATGACATTGGTTTTACCCATTCCAATATTATAAATTTATTTGATACAATGAGTGATAATATGCTTCTTTTGAGATTTGTCAATTTCCATCCATATTCCAGTTCCATTCCTTTAATTTATTGGAGGAGGAGGAAATATGGTAGAATCTTTTGACTATTTGGTCTTGGAAGTGTTGTACTAGTCAAATTTACTTCTTTTTCGTTTCCTTAACCTTTTAGAAATGAGGGTCTTTTGAATAGGAGTTGGTGCTTGTTGGTACATTTTGTTTGATTGATTTTACTTCGTTTTGTTGATTATCTTAAGAAAGGTGAACTGTGGGTTTTTTTTGCTTTTCCCTGCTGTTTCAGTTGCAGGTTGCAGCAACCCATGTTTCAATCATAGAAAGGCCGAAGAACCTGAACCACAGAGATGCAGAAGAACGGATGGTAAGAAATGGCGGTGTAACAGGGATGTTGTTCCTGATCATAAGTATTGTGGGAGGCACGTAAATAGAGGTACAAAAAAGCTTGTTGTAGATCATCACCAAGTGTCTGTAGCTGCTGCTCCTATCACTGGCAGTGCGCAACCACCCTGTCCTCTTGGTATACCCAAAAAAGCAGATAATCATATGAACTTGAACACCAACCTCTCCATCTCAATCCCAGAGAGTCCTCAACCAACAATAAAAATTGAAAAAAGTACTACTAGCAGTAGTAGTGATGCCACCACCATCTCGGACGAATTTATCAGCGTCTCTCACTGATTGGCTCTCTCTCTCTCTCTCTCCCTCTCTGTGGCCAATGTGATCTTGAGATTGTTTTCGCTATGAAGTACTGGTCAGATAGAGGAAAGTTTGAGCCATTGAGGACCTGGTTATATAAGGGGGAAACTGGAATCCACATGGTGTTGGCCTGATCGTGAAATACATGGTTGATAGGGCACCATTATATGAACTAATTTGTTTTTCTTGTAAGTATTTGGATACTAGTTTTTGGTGATTCCAGAATGAAGTGTTTTTCTGTGTTCAATTTTCTTTATATAAACCAGGACTCAGAATGATTGTCAATGCCAACAACATGAAGCTAATATAGTTGTGCTTGTCGACAAAGTGGTGTAATGTTTCTGATAAATGTGTAACAAGTTATCAATATTTTGCGGTGTACTAGCTTATCATGTTGTCCCAACGCTGTGAAATTCTCCTGAATCCTGATCGATCGAGTTTTGATAAGCCAGTGAATTTCTTTTATTGTCGTTTGTGTGGGAGAGGCGAAGCAAGCTTGTCCCAATTTTTTTAGAGATAAATATGGCCTTAATGCATTAGTTATAATCCTCTTATATTGGGGGTATTTTAGTCAATTTATAATGTCCGACCTTGATACAAAGGGTTATTTTAGTCCATCCACCAATGTGTGAGTCAGGCCAATGTGTTTCTTTTCACTATCACAGGCTTCACGGCCACACCACGCACGATACCACAACCGGTGGTGGCACCACCACAATCTCTACAACAGAAATCAGCAGCAGCAAAATTGGCGGCGACGCATCACCACCACCACTGCTTTCCCACGGCAACTTGGGTTGGCGGCCTGCTTATGGTTCGGATTTAGGATAGAGCGCGGAGGAAACATTACATAAATGCCCAATTGTGGTTAAGTCATCGAAATTACATAAATGCCCAACATTCTTAGGTTAAATTTAGCTAGAGGCAGAGCTGTATTGTTTAACTAGCATATCCATTTTAATGTTGTTATTTGTTCCAAAAACGACAAAAGGGAATGGAATTTGATGGGATTTGAAAGGGAAATTTATAATACAGAGAAATCCAGGATATATGGAAGGATTGAATTGGGAAGTTACGGTGGGAATGTTGTAACATAAATTTGGATTCAGATGTATGGGTGCGATCTATTCGATTGTAGTTGTTGAAATCCTTCACATAGCACGTTTTTAGTGATCGAATTAATTGTACATCATTCTTATGTTCTAGTGTTTTTAATCAGGTTGGGCATGGTGCGTTAATATATATGTACTATGTATAGTTTCATCTGCTATCATTTTGTACTTTACGTGGTTCAATTAGTACACCTATCGTTAAGCAAATCTTTTGGGAACAGGACAGTAAATGCAAATGCTTTCATAGTATTAATTTCGTGTATCTCCTTTTCTGATAAAATGAATAGAACATAAGTGTATTCCAAGTGATCATCATTTAATATTCCTTACCTTTCCGTACATGTCATATATTTATAGTCCTTGTTGATGCATTTTTTTGGCCAGTATATATATATATATATTATAATTATTTTTAAAGCTTGTCACTGTGTTTAATCACACACATTCTACATATGTTCCTTTGCCATGACCAAATTTTGCTGCATATGACTTGCTAATTCAAGAATACACACACAGATTATAATTCCGGATTTATTTACTAAATAATAATCTGTGATATTCCCTAACCATTTAAGAAAAAGACATAAGCTCAACCCCCCCACCCTCTTCCTACTGATCTTGCTTTCCCTTTATACTTTGCAACTTGTAAGATGCAAGAATGAAAGACAAAATGGAGAGAGCATTACATTTAAGAAAAATTTATGTGATATAAACAAGTTTAATAATATATAACTAGGGTGTTGTAATTGTCAAAGTAGAAGTGGCTACTGCCACATCAAATAAATTTTACGGACAGTTTATACATGATGCTTTCATACTACTATAATATGATAATAGAATAACTAAGAATAGCTGGGGTTGCCAATTTTTGGAACCGTTTCAATCTTAAGGTGCAATTCTTCATCTACTTTGTCAACTCACCAATCTGGCGAGAGGTGGTGGGGTCATGATAGATTGACTATTACACCCGCGTCTATATGTAACTCACATTTAGTCAACTTTATGTGGGATTAAATCATGGTCATTTGACGATATAACTGGCTAGCTAATCTAACAGCCGACAATTCAATGCATTCACATCACACGTGACTTGAACAATATTCATATATCATCAAAGCATCCAACTAGATTGCAAAACGTGACATAAAAAAAATCATTTGCAACTACTGTACATTATAAATATAATGGCATTAAAGTCGAACTATATGGTATTTTGCAAATGTTGCATAAAAAAAAAAACGAAAAAAAAGCAGCAGGGCAAATGCTCTCACCTGATGAAAATGGAAGCCATTGTATCTTGTCAGGTCTGCGTGGGTTGGGGACCAGTCGGAGGTTTGTATCAGTGAGTTGGGGGATAATGCTGGTGATGCATTCACATCACACCTATGTTGTAGAAATTAATTTGGATCTATTATATGTATGCTTAATTTTCACAAAAAAACCTTTGCACCACTTGGATCAACTGCTAAACTTGATTAGTCTCCTGTGTAATTAGTGAAAACTCTTTTTAAGTTCCCAAATATTGAAGTGCACTAATGCTAATCTTGTTTGATATTTTCAGAAGTGGATCTTTAATTTATTCCATGTTCAGAGTTCACTGAATATTAATTTGGCACTGAAAGGAAGAAATCCTGAAGTTTTGTTGGGGAAATGAACATTTTGAGGAAAATACTAGAAAAAAATAGATTTGTATTCTCCTTATATAATACTAGGGGAGACATTGAGAAATTTGTCCATCATCACAGTCATACTTTTTTATTTTTATTTATTTTTTGCCAGTTTGAAGAATGGTGTGTCTCTATTTTTTATCATATGATTTCGTCTGTGTCTAGAATCTAAGAGTTACCCCATTAGACTGATCACATATATCTTTTCATTTTATTTTGAAGTAAATTTAAATATCAGCTAATCTTTTTTCCTTTTTCAATAAATTTTCATGTAAACTATTACTATTCTTTTCAATAGACCAGACCACACAAAACATATATGAACATATACCCACGAAACACAGATGTGATGTTATTTTTAATTTTTAGTTAATAAGCTTGTTCCCCCCATTAAGGGTTATTTTAGTCAATTTATAATGTCAGGCCCATGTACAACCACCACGATCGTCCGCTAATTGGTTTCCTAACATTATTCTGGCGAATGAACCACAGCCATAACTTGTGGCGCCACCGCCACCACCACCACCACAACTTGTGGGGCCACCACCACCATTCCCACCCCCAAAACCACCGCCACCAAAACCCCATAGGAGACGGTGACTTGGTGGTATTCCGGTGAATGAATCCCACAGACAACGGTGACAACCTCATAGTCGAAGTTCTCGCGCTCGGCGGCGGCAGAGAGGCCTGTCTCGGCTTGGTGACGGCAAAATCGGTCGGGTTATGGTTCAGATACGGAGAGAGATGATGCACGAGATATAGAAAAGGTCCGGAGAGGTTCGGGTCTTGAAATTCCATAAAGGGCCTAGTTATTAATGACGTGGCGGCTTCCAGAGTTTTTTTTGTTCATGAGAAATTATTAGGTGGTCCAAGGCCACCACATGTATGATTCGAACCAGTCATAAAAAACCATGTCAGGGAAGATTACACTTCGGCAGTGGCAGTAGGAGCCAAACTCACCCAACATCAACTTTTTATTTTTTTCTCTGCAAAATTAGCTTTTTCTTACAGTACTACATCGTCTGTCTCTCTCTCTCCACATTGAATTTGAGTTTCAAAAATCTGATTTAAAAAAAAAAAAAAAAAAAAACTTCTTTCATTCTCTTTTGCCCTCTTCCTGGATTTGGCTGTTGTAGAAGCAGATGTGTCTTGATTAACATACTCACATCAATCAGATAGCTTTATTGATATCAATCTTCTATACCATCTCTCTGTTTATTATTACTTCCACTTTTATGCTCTTATTATTCTCTGTTTTTTCATTGTTGAATAGGTTTCCAATATAAATCTTATGGGGTTCTCTTACCTAAAATCAAGGTTTGTTCAGGCACATCCTTACTCAACTTTATGTTTGTGTTGATCCTAAAATCGGTTGGCTAGAGCCAATCTTAAATTGATGAGTTGCGGGCGTGCCAGAACCAAATATATGGTTCAATTGTGAATTGTCAACTTATAGTCTCTTAGGGAATGTTGACTTCAGGCGATTACAGGAGATAGAGAACAAATAAACTCCTAAATGAGTTCAATATTGCCTTAGTTATAAGGACTTTCTGTAAACAAATTATAGTAACGTAACGAGAGAATAGAAAGGAGGAGATAATGGATATAGCAAGAAAAGAAAAGGAAAGAATGAGGAGAGAAAAAGAGAGAGAGAGAGAGAGATTGAGATAGAGAGATAGAGATGAAGAAGAAATAGCAAGGATGCTCTCTGTTTATTTATAGAATAAATGGTAAAACAAATTCCTAAATACAAGCATCCTAGTTATATTCTAATACAACCACATAATTATTCAAATTAAACTAATCCTAACTAAATACTAATTCAAAAATTAAGTAAACACATAAATCCTATCTAACATAAAGTTCAAAAACATTATATCCCTGTAATATCCTTGCATATAGTGTTATTTTGTATGAGAACTGCCATGTCACTGTTCATGCATATCACTAATGGATTTTATTCTAACTAAGATGCTATTTCAAACCACCTTCAATCCAATCACCTTCCATAACCCAGATATCCTTCTCGGCCCAAACTCTTAGCACATCATCACAGACCAGGCTTTATGTTCTTGGCCCATATTACTATATCATTGATCATCAAGTCCAATTAAAACCTAAACCCAATTACCAAAATGGGTGTCAACAATGCCCCCTAATTTTGGTAGCCGTTTTAATCCTTCGGCTTCCAAAATTTGAATACACCCATTGCATTGGGACTTAGCATACATATCATATAATCTCTTGAGTTATATCAGGAGTAGATTTCCCAAAAATGCCGATCACACTAATCCATCTTATCATTAATGACATTGTGATAATCCTCTCTTTTTCCACAAAAAACACGTCTCTTCTCTCATTTGAACAAAACTCTCTGCAAACCCTTCTTCTCTTCCTAAACTCTTGCTGCAATCAAATTCTTCTTGCAACTATGGCTTCAAAATCATAGAAGCAAAGTGATTTGACTTTAGAGAATCCTTCTCCCGAAGCAACATCGCACACCCAAATGACGAAATCGGTAATCAAAACCCTAGTTCCGGCCGACTTGAATACTACTATCTTGATCGATATCACAGAGAACGCTAAGGGACTTGGCCCAGCGTTTCTTAATCGATTCCTTCCTTCATTATCCTCAATTTATCCCCAGGCTGAGCAACAACTTCCTTTCTCAAAACCTCTTTATCTGACAGCGGAAGGGGATAGACCCACCCTCTCTGTCAGAAATTGGCATCCACTAATGCTCCAATGGAACGATTGGGTGGATCGTGTATCAGCAGCAAAAGGAGAGCAATGGAAAATGATGGGAATTTACGACCTCATTCAACTCAGTAAGATCCCTTTTATTTTTAACCGAGCCTTGTTTTTTGCTTCTTTACACTTTTGGTCCCCCACAACCAATTCTCTACACTTGCACTGTGGTATGATGGCTCCTACCTTGAGGGATGTCTGTTTTTTAACAGGATTAAAGCCTGGGGGAGACGAAATCAATTATCTCCTTCAAGATGAAGAGATCTCTTTTTATTTTCCAGAACAAAAAAGGGCTAAACCCTTTGTGCAATCACATGGTCCTTTCTTAAAAGAAATGTTAGGGGAAGAAGGGACCAATGTAGATGAACAAGAGCATATAGGGTTTTTACTATTGTGGTTGTGCAGATATTTGTTGTGTGCCCCTGCCATTCAGATCACCAAGGACCTTACTCAACTGGCCATTGCCCTATTGAAAGGAAAACCTATGGCATTAGCTCCGTTTCTCTTAGCCTCTTTATACAGAGGCTTGTCTGACCTCATTACGTCCAACTTTTCAAGGTCTGAAGGACCATTTTGGCTTTACCAATTCTGGTTGCATGCATATTTTCCTGAACTTGCTCTTCCTATTTGGCTTGCTCCAAACGATCCTTTGCTGTCATTCGAGTATGCTAGAGTCAAACCCAAAGACCATTCCTTTAATGACTGTTTTCAATTATTCTATCATCAGTGCAAAATCAGAACCCAATCCCAATTCCTTCCCTTTTCCAAATGTCAACTAGCTCCATCTTGGTTGTTTCCCCGTACTGCCGAGTCTTCTCCTGAACAGATTGACCGTTATATCACTTCATGGGGCCACTTCTTGATCGCAAGAGACATACCTTGCAATACCGTTGCTCCCAATTTGCCCAAGAGCCGAACTGTGGTTGAGTTTTACAACCCAACGCAATTAGCTCGGCAATTTGGATTGACGCAAATGATCCCAGTGCCTCCCCATTTTTCTTACAACAAGAACTATCACAAGTGGGTTAAGCTTTCAAACAGTGAATAGATTCAAGATGTTACCAATCGGTTTACCCAACGTTTTCAAGAATATCAGTACAAATCCTTTCTATAAGAACCGCATACAGATCCAAGCTTCGAAACCTGGTGGGTGTCATCTATTAATTTTACCAGGACTGTAGATTCTAGTCAACTTGTGTCCACCTTCCTTGGCTCCTACAAATTCATATCCCTCAATTTTCAAGGTGTTGATTCCCTCGAACTCGTTGATCTTACTACCGCTCTTGAGCCGGAGAATATAACAAATATTGCACCAACTCGTCCTCCTCCAGCAGCTCGTGCAGATAGGACCAGATCACGCTCTTGGCAAAGTAAGTTTTCTATCATCTTCTTTCCATTAATACTTCTATTTGGTTTATATGATACTTATCAATGGATAATGTAATTCCAGGCACATATTCCAATGCACCAGAGAAATCTGGTACCAAATCTGAAGAAACTTACATTGATTTCTATGTTCCTTTGCAAAGTATTCCCCCATCCTCGGCTACTCAGGTAATACTCCTAACCGAATCATATATATCATTTTTGATACATACCATTCCCTTACTTAAACTTCTTCTCCAGAAAGCTACAAGAAAGAAGACCATAGGAAAGAAACCCAAAAAATCAAGAGCCAAGAGACATTTTGATTTGATTGATGATGATGAAGTCATCTCCAAGAAGAAGAAGTCTGCTACCGAATCTCCTAATGTAATTTCTTTCTGCTTGATCTTTTATATATATATTACTCCTTGAATATAATTAAATCGGCATTATTTGTAGAAAACTCAAGTCTCCTCAGATCAAAAATCAATTCAGGAAATCTCTACTGATCATGTCGAAGATGAAGACAAAATTGAAGTGTCAGTATGACAAAAATCAAGGTCTCCAGTATCTTCCCTAAACCTGGCTACAACTTCAATTGGTGAACAAATTGGAGATCCTGATGAAGTGAGTAACGACATATTTCTATATATATACATTTCTTTTATGTCCTGTTCTTGTAAACTTATTATGGCTATGGCATGTTTCAGGTACAACATGGCTCAGCTAATCCAACCAATCCTGTCAGTACCAACCCAAGCTCTCCCTTTGACACCCTTGACTCTTTATTTGATTCTGTCTTTGACTCACCTGATCTTAATCCTCCTGAAATTCCAACTGAACCATCATCTGACATAGCCCCAGAAGTAATAAAAGCCATCCAGATATTGTCCCAAATAGTACAACAGGATTTGTCTCTTACTCCTTTATTCAAAAATGAACTGGCCGAGACACTTTCTTTCCTCGGTAGTTATCCTGGATTCTCCCTGAATGATCAAACCTTCTTCAAAAATTTCCAGCTTCGAGTGCCTTCTTTGACAACTGCTTATGCTGAATCAATCCATACTATTGATCATTACTCTTCCCAGTATCATGAGAAAGAAAAACTTTCTCAAACTTTAAAGAAAAGAAAAGAACTGCATCTATCCTTAAAGAAAGAGGCTGCCGAGCTGGCTGCTAAGGAGAAAAAGCTTCAAGCCGAACTTGCTCAACTTCAGTTGGACAAGACAAAGCTTGGTAGTAAGGTGGCTAATCTAAAGGTTCAAGCGGAGACCGCAGCTCTCAAATTCAAATCTTTGCAAGCACAGATGCTGAAGTTGGAACAAAACAAGAAGGTGGCAGAAACATCCCTTAATCAATCTCGAGCTTTGTGGGCAGACTTTAAAGCCAAATTTGAAGAATTTCACTATAATTTCACCAGAATTTGAACATTCATGGGTCTGTAATATGTTTTGAACAATTTGCATTTTGTGATGTGTTGAATGGTCTCATTATGATATTTTTGCTTTTAAAATATACTAAGCTTCTATTTACTACATAACCATACTTAGTCACTATTCATTCAAACAAAAAGACAAAAATACAATCCAAACTATTTTGACTTAACTGGAAACTTCTTTTCTTCCATAAGCTCAAAAATAGTTGGCTTATATTTTTTAAGGTACCTTCCATTTATTGGCCTTTCATGCACTTCACCATCTAGATTTTTTAACTTATAAGCTCCTCCATGCAATACTTGGTGAATTAAGTACGGACCCTTCCAAGTAGGTGACCACTTGCCATAGACCCTATCCATCTTTCCAGGTGGAAGAACTGTCTGCCAAACCATATCGCCCTCTGCAAATGACTTGAACTTCATGTAAGCCCTCATGACTTTTGCTTTATGCATCATAAGGTGATCCAAAACAAGTTTCTAGACTTCATCTAAGTCTTCCAACTCGGCAAGCTTAGCTTCGTTATAATCGGCAGTAATGAGATTATGTTGCAAGGCAACCCTTGCCCATTTTACGTTTAACTCCATCAGCAACACTGCATCATGACCAAACGTTAGCCGATATGGAATTGTCCTGGTACTTGTCCTTTTTGAGTTTCTATAGGCCCATAAGGCTTCTGAAAGGGCTTCATGCTAACGCATCGGCTTGTTTTTTTTATCATCTTTTCAATAATTTCAATCACAACTTTATTTGATGCTTCTGCCTAGCCATTCCCTTGAGCATAATAGGGTGTTGAGGTAACCATTTTTACTTGCATATCAATGCCGAGCTGTAACACTTCATTCGCTCGGAAAACAGACCCATTATCGGCAACAATTGTTTTCGGTAATCCAAATCGATGAAAGATATGTCGCTCCAAAAACTGTATAACAGTATTATGAGTCACCGATACATATTCCTCGGCTTCTACCCGTTTAGTAAAATAATCAGTAGCGAGAATAATCCAATGATGACCCTTTGATGAAAGAGGATTAATCTTGCCGATTAGATTCATAACCCAACCTCCGAAAGGCCATGGTTTAACTAGTAATTGCATTTCTATTGCTAGGACCCACTGCATTGGACCATGTTTTTGATAGTCTATACAGCCTTTTGCATAAATCATACAATATTTTCTCATTCCTGGCCAATAATATCCATATCGGCGTATCAAGCACCTCATTTTTATACCAGCTTGGTGAGCTCCACATATCCCTTCATGTACCTCAGCCATGATCTTCAAACCTTCAAACTTGCTAATGCACTGAAATAACAAACCATCATCAGCCGATCTTCTATAAAGATCTCCATCCAGAAGCACACAATCGACTGCACTCTTTCTAATTCTTCGATCGGCTTCAAGAGTTGGATGTTGCAAGAACAAGATGTAAGGAATTCGCCAATCATCATCATCCAATTCGGCAAGATCAGTGGCAAAGACTTCTTCCATAATTTGATTTCTTGTTTCAGCTGATGGAAGAGATCGACGTGTAATCTTTATTACTCTTTCCTTCATTCCACTCGGCACCCTTACTCCTGAAGCTGTCTGTGCTAAATCATTAGCTAGTTTATTTATGGCCTTTGGTCTATATTCCAAAGTCACGTTGTGAAATTGGTTAACCAATTGGGTTGCCAATGAATGGAATGTCTTAATTGCCAATTTAAACATCTAAAGTCTTCTGAGATTTGATTAATCACTAAACTTGAATCTCCCACAATGTGGACATCTTTGACTGCCATTTCCAACAGAATTTCCAAGCCGATAATTAATGCTTCATACTCGGCTTGATTATTTGAACACGTGAAATCCAAAAAAAAAGAAAACGAGATTTGATTCCCTGTTGGGGATATTATCACTATACCAGCACCCGAGCCTTCATTGGTACTTGACCCATCGAACATTAAAGTCCATGGAGTCATGAATATAGATGTTGAGTCAAGCTCATTAAATACTTGTGACTCAATTTCAGGCGAGGGATGATCAGCAAGAAAATCTGCCAATGCTCTTCCCTTAATTGCCTTTTGTGGAACATATGCAAAGTTGAATTCCATTAGTGCCAAAGCCCACTTGCCAATCCGGCCTGTGATTAATGGCCTTGATAGCATATACTTTATAAGATCGGTTTGGCAAATAATATAAACCAAAACAGGCAACATATAGACTTTTAATTTCATTACTACAAAGTACAAGGCCAAACATAATTTCTCAATCGGTGTATATCTACACTCGACTGGAGTTAAAACTCAACTAAGGTAATATACTGCTTGTTCACTTCCTGCTTCATTCTTTTGTGCTAACATAGCTCCAATGGATTCTTCAGCAGCCGATAAGTATAATTTCATCGGCCATTTCTTTCTTGGTGGCATCATGACATGAGGACTCGATAAGTATTGCTTAATCTGGTCAAATGCCATTTGATGAATATCATCCCATCTGAATTCTTCCATCGGCTTCAACTTAAGTAGCGGGGAAAACACATGTAACTTCCTAACTGTATTAGCAATAAATCTCCTAAGATAATTCACTTGTCCAAGTAACCTCTGCAACTGTTTCTTGTTTCTCGGTGCACTAGCATCAATAATCACCTTAGCTTTATTCCTATCTATCTTTATACCCCTTTGATGAACCAAGAAACCCAAAAAGTTTCCTGCCGATACTCTAAAGGCACACTTTATTGGATTCATTTTTACCTTATGTGTGATGACCTTGTGGGCGGGTGTGCCGTGGGCTGGTGCGAGAGACACTGTCAGGCTACCACACTGGCGAGCTACGGGTGCGGTGCACAGTCCCACATCGCCTGGGTAGAGGAAAGGTGAAGTGCTTATATGTAAGTGTGTCACCTCTAATTGGTATGAGGCCTTTTGGGGTGAAGCCCAAGAGCAAAACCGTGCGGACTCAGGCCCAAAGCGGACAATATCATACCACGTGGTGGAGTGGGTCGTTACAAATGGTATCAGAGCCTGACCCAGCCGGAAGTGTGCCGACGGGGACGTCGGGCCTCCAAGGGGGGTGGATTGTGATGACCTTGTGGGCGGGTGTGCCGTGGGCGGGTGCGAGAGACACTGTCAGGCTACCACACTGGCGAGCTACGGGTACGGTGCACAGTCCCACATCGCCTGGGTAGAGGAAAGGTGAAGTGCTTATTTGTAAGTGTGTCATCTCCAATTGGTATGAGGCCTTTTGGGGTGAAGCCCAAGAGCAAAACCGTGCGGGCTCAGGCCCAAAGCGGACAATATCATACCATGTGGTGGAGTGGGTCGTTACATTATGAGCCCTCATCTTCTCAAAAGATGTTTTGAGGTGGATTAGATGCTCTTTTCTTGTTGCTGATTTCACCACCACATCATTAATGTACAACTCCATAAACTTGCCGAGCATACCATGAAAAATAGAATTCATGGCTCGTTGATATGTGGCCCCAGCATTCTTCAACCCAAAAGGCATCACCACCCATTCAAAAGTTCCGATCGATCCGGGACACCTAAAAGCTGTCTTTGGGATGTCCTCCTCGGCTATATAAATCTGATTATAGCCTAAGTGTCCATCCATAAAAGACATAATTTGGTGCTTTGCAGCCGCATCAATCAGCTGATCGGCTATCAGCATTGGATATTCATCTTTTGGAGTTGCCAAATTTATGTTTCAGAAATCAGCACATATACGTAATTTTCCATTTTTCTTGATAACATGGACAACATTTGATAACCATTCAACATACCTTGTAGTTCGAATGAAGCCAGCGTCCAACAATCGTTCGATTTCTATCTTAACTTTGTCTACTACTTCTTAAGACATTCGACGAGGTGGCTGTTTATATGGCTTGTAGCCATCTTTAATGGGCAACCGATGTTCCACCAAATCTCTGGATAAACCCGGCATTTCTTTATAGTTTCAAGCAAAACAGTCACTGTATTGTTTCAACATGCCGAAGTTATCGGCTTGTAATTCTGGTTCTAACAGTACACTAATATAAGTAGGTCTAGGCTCTGTGTCAGTGCCTAAATTCACCTCCTTTAAAGGATCCTAAGTGTCTGCTTTAAGATCATCGAGCTTTGCTGGTGCTAACTCCAAGTCTTCCAACTGAATTGCATCCAACTTTTCATTACTGAACCGATCGATCTCAGTAAGATTGACCGATGGTCCTGACTCTATTATTGCTTCTTTCTCTAGCCGTTTTTCGGCTATGTACGCTTGAAGCCTGATGCAAGCGGCCCTAAAGTCCCGCTGCCGAGCAGCTTCCCTTTCAAGTTTCGTTTTCATCAATAACTTCTTCAATTATAGCAAGCCGAGGGAATTCTACCTTCGACCTAGAATTCTCCTGCTGCAATTCACCTATTTCACGATCGGCAAGACTTCTTCTCATGGTTGCCGAGGTTGGTTTTCCAACACATTTTTCGTCATATAAAACAGCATATGCCAAATACACTTTTGCCACAAATGGCTTATCATCGGCATTTACTATTTTCACTTTATCTCCATCCCAAAAAATCAGCATCTGATGTAATGATGATGGGATGCACATATTGGGATGAATCCAATCACAGCCTAATAACAAATTATAGGAAGCCGTGGATTCAATAATAAAAAATGCTGCATAAGACGTCCTACCCCCAACCTCTACTTCTAAAGGAAGGATCCCTTTAGTGCTGGTAGAACCTCCGTTGAAACCACAAATTGCTACATCAGTAGGAATAACATCTTCCATACTCTTGCCGAGTTTCTTCAATGTGTTTGCTGGAATAACATTCAAAACCGAGCCATTGTCTACCACGACTCGATTAATAGGTTGACCTTCTACCCACACCTTAACATATAAAGGCCTGAGCTGTTGAGTCATTGCTAATAGAGGTTTTTCAAAAACCACATTCTCTGCCGATTCTGAGGAAAGAATTGATAAATTCTGAATCGGCTGAGTTTCCTTCTCATTCTTCTCAGTATTTGCATTTGATGCCAA